ACTACGACTACGACTACGACTATTACTACTAGTACTAGTACTACTAGTACTACTAGTACTACTAGTACTACTAGTCTACTAGTACTACTAGTACTACTAGTACTACTAGTACTACTGGTGCTACTACCACGACTACTACTACCACTACTACTACTACTACTACTACTACCACTACCAATACTACTACTACTACTACTACTACTACTACTACTACTACTACTACTACTACTACTACTACCACTACTACTACTTCTATTTCTACTACTACTACTACCACTGCGGAACAGGGCCGCCGGCCCTGTTCCGCCGGCCCTGTTCCGCCAGCCCTGTTCCGCCGAGGCCCTGTTCCGCCGAGGCCCTCTTCCGACTGGCCCTGTTCCGGCCCGCCCTCTTCCGCCGCGGCCCTGTTCCGACGGGCCCTCTTCCGCCGAGGCCCTGTTCCGCCCAGGCCCTGTATCGCCGGCCCTGTTCCGACCGGCCCTGTTCCGCCGCGCGAAAGCCCCAGGCGCCGGAATTGCGCTCTCTGGCGGCGGAACCGGGCCGGGGCGGAACCGGGCGGGTCCGAACCGGGCGGGTCGGAACCGGGCCTGGTCGGAACCGGGCCTGGTCGGAACGGGGCCTGGTCGGAACCGGGCGGGTCGGAACCGGGCGTCGGCGGAACCGGGCGGGTCGGAAGCGGGCTTGGTCGGAACAGGGTCTGTCATCGCCAATTACATGCTGCTCGCGTCGTCGTCGTCGTCATCGTCGTCGCTCGTCGCTCGGCGCTCGGCGCTCGTCGCGTCGCGCGCGCGGGCGCGGCTGCGGTGCCGGAGCCACGCGGCGGGAGGGGGCGTTACGTCATACCCCCCGCTCGCCCCCCCCCCCCCCATGACGCCCGTCATCGCCGAACATCTCTGGGGGTTGGCAGGCAGGTTCGTCACGTAGGCGAGGGGTGGGCGGGGGGTGGGAGGGTGGAGAGGGGAGGGGGGAGCGGCAGTGGTGGATGGGCAACGGGAGGGGGAGAGTTAGAAGCGAGAGGGGCAGTTGAATTGGAGGAAGGGCAGCGAGGGGAAAAAGCCTGGGCCAGAGCAGTGGCGATCGGCGATCCGCTGAACTGGGCCGTAGGGTGCACGCCCATCTGTGGAACACCAAAGACTTCTCTGCGGTTTGTAACTACGCTCCTGCCTGGGGGACGTGGTTCCACACCAGCAGTTGGTCCAGACAAAACTTTCAAGGTGGTGGTGCCAACGCCCTCACATGGAGAGCAGCAAGCTTCCTCGTATGCCCCCCCCCACCGCGTTTGCATTCACATTGCGATTCGGGAGTCCCCCTGTCGCTACAGCTGGGTCCGGCCAACTGGTATCCTTGGTTGGGCCACTATTCGGCACGGATATGAGCGTTGGAGTCTAGGGTGCATCAGTTGTGGCCTTGGAGCTAACAAAACAATTTCAAACGAAAGAGTACTAGCCTCGATTCTCCAAACACCTGTATCTAGTAAGTGGCTTTCGTGCTTTACTTCTCGGTTGTAGACGTCGTGGAGATGCAGGTGACCAGGTGCGTGGCGCACCCGCTCAACATCAACACCCTTGCACCAGTGCCGGCCTGACAGCGTCAGAGCACCGCTTCTAAAAACAGCAGGTTCAGGGAAGGGGGGCAAAGCATCTGTGGTACATGGGAGCGGGCCCGCACCTTTATTTTCGTATCCGTTCAGCATTGCTGCACAGCGGCGACACAGTGTGCAGCGGGCGAGCCGTGCCATGGCAGCATAATGCACAGCAACAGGATGTACAGCACAACGTATGGCGGCAACACGTGCAACATGCCATGGTCATCGCTTGTATTAAGGAATGGTATTGAAACATGTGCTGCACGCCGCGCTGGTTATCGACATTTCTTGGGGCAAGCAGGGGTCTCGAGCACGTGCTCGAGACTGGCTATCCTACCTCCCACGATCCCAACTCCAAGGACCCAATGCTTAATCTTGATTGAAGGGCGTTTCCTTCTGAATAGCCTCAAATGGCGGGGGTGTCCAGAGCAAGTCGAATGTTGGAGAATGTGAAGTGTCGAGCATTGACCGTTTGAACCCTCCTGCTAGCTCCACCAGATCATGTACTTCTTGGTCTTCATCATCTTAAGTCCACACGCTTCTCGGGCCCAGAAGGGACTGCGTTCGGGCCTCCGTGGATCCGTCACCGGATGGGATCGACTCCCCGTCTTCCCGTGAAGCGAGGGCGAGCAAGGAGAAGAAGCAGCAGGGGCAGGAGCCAGAGTGAGGAGAGATGAACAAGGGAGGAGCAGCCAGGAGCGAGGAAGGAGAAGGAGCATGAGAAAAGGAGGAGGACGAGGACGAGGAGGAGGCCGAGGACGACAGCTGTGAAGCCAGGGCCCTTTTCCGTTAGCGCCCGTGTTGCCTATGCCCCTCCAGAGGCGGCGCGTTGGGGACGGTGAAGGCAGCGAGTACGAGGACGCCCAGGAAGAAGAAGAAGAAGAGGGCAAGGATGCAGAGGCCAATGAGGCTCATTAGGGTGCTCCGGGATCGGACTTCCTCATGTCCTAGGTCTCCTCGCGCTGTAAAGGAAACCGACGGAGGGCACTGGGCAGTTTTTTGTCCAGGCTCGGACTTCCACCTCCCCTGGGCCTCCTCCGCTGCGAAAAATGACGACGGAGGGCATTGGGCAAGTGTCTTTTTCTGGGAGACTTTGCCAGATCCAGAGGGCACTGGATGAGAAACCGGACTTGGGACAGGGTCGAGACCTCTTGGGGCCCACGATGTGACACAAGCACAACGTCGGAAATCTGGGTCCTCCTCTTTCCTTATCCGCCGCGCCACGGCCCAAGCGTTGCACCCGGCAGGGGACCTGTTTTCCAGTCCAAGCCATCCATGTTGATCGTTTCTTATTTCTTGTTTTGCCGATCGGCGCGGGCCCTCGCGCCACCACTCCCCCCCCCATGGAGTAGATGGCCTCGAAGAATAAATAGCCCATAGTCGGGTGTTCTACGTATTCGCTGGGGAGCCTCGTCGAATACATGGGCGATCGTCGCAATGGGATCCATGTAACGAGCGGGTCGAGGACCAGGACAACACTTTCCAGAGCGCTCCCGAGCGCTCCAGAACGGCCGTGGTGCCCGATATTCACCCCAGAACCGCGGCATCTCAGAGATCCCCACGTTTTCCTTGTCCGATTCTGTCCTGGTCCTGGCGTCGTTTTAATGAGGTGTTCCCCCCTGGCGTATTCACCTGTTGCCGCCGCCGAGTGGCCCGAGACGGCAACCGCGGCGGTACGGACGGAGGCCTCCTCGAGACAACCCGCGCGGTGTGTTCTGTTCCATGCGTGGCCCTCTGGCACCTCGACCCCTTCCCGTGGACCCCGTGCTCTTCCCAGATCCTCCGACGGCCCCGAAGCCCGAGGACGGCCCTGACAGGCTGGACAAAAGTGGAAACCTCCCGGACGTTTCATGGGGTTGGAGGTTCATTGGACGCGTAATGGGGGGGCGATACATAGAGAGGCAGCGAGGGCTGCCGAAAAGGGAACCAGTCGGGGGCCTTAATGCCCGAAGACGGCATTTCCCTCCCCCCCCACTAAACGCCCCCTATGCCTACGCGCCGAAGAGGTCCACGCCCCCCATCTCCCGTCCTCACCCGTCTTCTGGCGCAGATCGGGCCTTGGCTGCAAGACGCTTGCAGGAGTTCCAAATGGAACGAACGACATCAGGGAGGGCCGCCCTTGTCTCCACTGGCCCTCCCCCAATCTTGCTCGTCCTCGTCGTCGCCCTCCCACAATCTTGCTCGTCCTCGTCGTCGCCTTCCTCTTTCGCACCCTCTCCCAGGACCTGCGGCGCCGCGTGGCTGAGCGGACGGCCTCTGCAGGTGTGAAGCCGGCGCTCGCTCCAATGGGGAGGGGAGGGGGCAGACCACCTTCATCGTGGGGATCAGGGGCAACGTCAGGGAGGGATAGGCTCAGGGGGAGATGCATCGACCCCCAATCGCCCACTCGTCGCCGACAGGGACCCAACAGCCTCATCCCGCCCAGTAGCGTGCGGATTCGCTATCGGTGGCCTATCGCCGATCTGTGGGCCAGGTATCGATCATTCATGGTCTATGTTTCTCCCCCAGCTTCTTCCCCTCTAACGCTGACAATCAGTGAACCCAGACCCCTGGCGCCATGATTGTTTCACGACCTGCACCTACAGAGGTCTGGACCTTTCCCCCCGGACCGGGTTTTCATCCCGAGTCCTTTTCTGACGGTCACGGGGCCTGTCGAGGACCGTTGGAGTGTGAAACCCGCCTAAGATCGTCCGTGAAGTTGTTTTTCGTCGCCCCTCATCTTTTACTATCGCCCTCTCGCTCATCGCAACCCCAGCTGCCCGCCTCTTAGAGGAGCTCAAGATGCATGGCCGATCGTGAATCTGGGCGTTCCTGGACGGGGTGGGGCCAGCAGGCCCCTGTCGGCGATGAATGGGCGATTGGGGGTTCGATGCCTCCGCCCATGAGCCCTATCCCCTCCTTGCCTTGCCGCCCGGGGGAGCCGTGGTCCTCACCCCCTCCCCTGCCCCCTGTGGGGCAGCCCGCCTGTATTGCGAGCGCCCCAGTCGAGAGATTGTGGCTCCCTGACCGCCCGCGCGTCGTGGCAGAAACCACGACGGCAGGTTCCTGCCAATTCTCGGCCCCGCAAGGCCACGATGCTCTGGGAAGGGGGGATCGAGGGTCGAGAGGGCTTTGGGCGTCTCTGGGGGCTTCTAGGGCTCCAGGGAGGACCTTTTCCTGGGGGAGAGTCGGCGAACCCTTCAGTGGTGGTGACCCCCCCATGGCGAGGCCCTGGGAAACGCGACCGAGGCAGACCCCTTGAGATTGTCCACCCTCTGGCGGGTAACACTCCTTACCATGGCCCCTCCCCAAAGGGTTACGGTGACGATTTTACCTGGGTGGGGGGGGGGCTAGACGAGAAAAATTCGTTCCTCGGTTGAACGGCTCGTTCCCCGGTTGAACGACTCGTTCCCCGGCGCAAATTCGAAGTGTTTTCCCAGTACATGGAACTTCTGAGAGCCTTTTTTTGCGGCCGCCATGAAGACTCTTGGCGGCCCTTGAGAGGGTTCTTGTCGGCCCTCAAGAAGGTTCTTGAAGGCCCCCGGCAAGGGTCTTGAAGGCCCTTAAGAAGTGTTTTGGAGCCCCCAAGGAGAATCCTGGCGGCCGTGAGAGGATTTTTGGCGGCCCCTGAGAGGTTTCTTGGCGGCCCCTGAGGTTTCTTGGCGTCCCCTGAGAGGCTTCTTGGCGGCCCCTGAGGGGGTTGTTGGCGGCCCCTCGGTCTGTTCTTGGCGGCCCCTGCGAGGGTTCTTCTGGGCCCCCAAAAAGGTTCGTGGCGGCCCCCGAGAAGGGTCGTGGAGGCCCCCAAGATGAACCTTGGCGGCCCTGAGGGGATTCTTGGCGACCCCTGGGAGGTTTCTTGGCGGCCCCTGAGAGGTTTCTCGGCGGCCCCTGAGAAGGTTCTTGGAGGCTCCTGAGAGGTTTTTTTTGGGGGGGGGGTCGGCCCCCCAGAAGGTTCCTGGCGGTCCCCAGAAGGTTCTTGGCGGCCCCCAAGAAGGTTTTTGGCGGCCCCTGAGAGGGTCTTGGCGGCCCCCAAGAAGGTTGCTGTCGCCCCCCGAGAAGGTTTTTGGCGGCCCCACAAAACATGTTCTCGGCGGCCCTCAAGAAGGTGCTCGGCGGCCCTCAAGAAGACTCCTGGCGGCCCCTGCGAGATTTGTTTGGCGGCCCCCAAAGACGCCTCTTGGCGGCTTCTTGGCGGCCCCTGAGACTCAGAGGTTTGTTTGGCGGCCCCTAAGACGCCCAGTGGCGGCCCCTGACAGGAATCTTGGCGGCCCCTTGAAGGGTTCTTGGCCCTTGGCGAGACCGAGAGGATTCTTGGCGGCCTCTGAGTGGGTTCTTGGCGGCGTATGAAAAGGTTTTTGGCTGTCCGTGGGAGGGTGCTGGGCGGCCTCTGAGAGGGTCTGGGGCGGCCTCTGAGAGTTTTGTTCGGGGGGCGGCCCCTGAGAGTGTTTTGAGCGGCCTCTTAAAGCGTCCTGGGCGGCCCCTGAGAGGGTTCCTGGCGTCTCCTAAGAGTTTTTTTTGGAAGCCCCTGAGAGGCCGCGGCCCCTGACAAGGGTTCTTGTCAGCCACCGGAGAGGCTTCTTGAGCTTCTTGGCAGCTCCTGGGAGGCCTCTTGGCGCCCACTGGGACGCTTCTTGGCATCCCCTGAGAGGTTCCTTGGCGGACCCTTAGAGGGTGGTCGGCGGCCCCTTCCAATGGTTATTGACAGCCCCTGAGAGGGTTCTTGGCGGTCCCTGAGGCGATTCTTGGCGGTTCCCGAGACGGTTCTTGGCGGCCCCATGAAAAGGTTTGTGTTGGCGGTCCTGTGAAGGCGCCTCTTGGCGTCCCCTGAGAGGCTTTTTTGGTGGCCCCTGAGAGGGTTCGTGGCGGCCCCTGAAAAGGCCTCCTTGCGGCCCTTGGGAAGGTCCCTGGCAGCCCCTGAGAAGGTCGTTGGCGGCCTGCGAAGGCTTCTCTGCAACCTCCCCTTGGGAGAATTCTGGGGCCCTGAGAGACGTTTGTGAGAGGTCTCTAATCGCCCTCTGAAAGGCCTCTTAAAGCGGAGACCTCTGAGGGCCCTCAGCGCGTCTCCCTCTGAGAAGCCTCTGAGAGCTCTCCGAGATGCCCATGGGAGAGAGGTCGAGGCCCCTGGTATGCTTCCGGTTGATCCCAGGGATCCCTTGGAGAGCTCTGTGGGAGCTCCTGAATCACGTGGAACGTCTCAATAGTTTCTTGTGGCCAGGTGGCCGCGGCTGCACTCCTTCGGCTGCGCGCGTTCTTTGTGGACCAGTGTCGCGAGAGGAAAAGACGCGCACGCGCGCAATCCTCATCGCTTTTGCCGCTTTGAACAAGGATCCGCCCGCACCTCCCTGTGGGCCTTCTCTGGTTGCCCCCTCAGCCCCCAGAGGCCTCGGGCCCCGCCTCGCACGGCGCCTCCCTCTGGGATGCCTCGAGAGCAGCCGGAGTGGTGCTCAAGCGAGAACCCCGTTTTGAAAAAGGAACCGCCCTCAACCTCCCCCTCTTGGCCTTCCCTGGTTGCCCCCATCACCCCCCAGACAGAGGCTTGGGTGCCCGCCTCGCACGGCGCTCTGGATTGAATTCCTCGGGAGCACTTGAAGTGGAGTTCGAGCGAACACCCCGTTTTGAAAAAGGGGCCGCCCGCACCTCCTCCTCCTCTGGGCCATCTTTGCTTGCTCCCATCAGCCCCCAGATGCCTCGGGCCCCTTGTCGCACGGCGCTTCCTTCGGATGCCTCGAGAGGGTCCCTGTTGCAGGCGAAGCGCAAACAGGCAAAACAATATTCAGACCGACAGTGCGTCAGAGCAAACGAGCAGGCGGCAACGACATTTAAACTCGAGCAGGGCGAACAAACAAACGAGCAGGCGAGCAGAACAAACGAGCAAGCGAGCAAAACAAACTAGCAGGATATTAGAGCAAACGAGCAGGCGACAGAGGGCGGCAACGACATTACCCCGCACCGCAGGCCCCCTTGCATTCACGAATATCAGCACTGATGGTGCTGGTGGGTTTCTGGGGTTCGTTCCTGGGGTGCGAGCTGTTGTGCTCGTGGCTGGTTGTGTGTCGGCGGTCCTCCTCCTCCTTCGTTTCCTCCTCCTCCTCCTCCTTCTCCCCCTCCCCCTCGTTCTCGTCGTCTTTTTCCCCTTCCTCGTCCTCGCCGCCCCTCTCCTCTTCCAGCTCCTCCTTCCCGTCGCGTTCCTCCCCTGGTTCTCTGGCTGTTGCTCCTTCAGCCCCTCCACCTCCTGTTCTTCTTGCTCCTGGTCCTCATTCTGTTCCCCCTCCTACTCCTCGATCCAATTTCCTCTTCCCCCCCTTTTGTTCCCGCTCCTCCTCCTCCCCCCCTCCTCCTCGATTCTCTTTCCTCCCCCATGTCCTCCTCCACTTCCTCCTTCTCCCGCCCCTCTTCCTTCTCATCTGCTTGTTTTCCGTCCCCATCTCTTCCTCCTCCTCCTCGTCTTTTTCTTCCTCCTCTCCTCCTCATCCTCCTCCTCCTCGCGACGGGCCCATCGCGCGCAACACGTTGTCGGTGATTCAGAGACGCGGGTTCTCCAACGTTCAGGAAAAGCTATGCCCGTGCCACGCACGCGAGTAAAACAACATTCCCGACGAACTCGTTCCCCGGTCGGATTCATGTTGTTCCGGCGGCAACGTAAGCGGCTACGTGTATGGGTTGAACTCGTGTTTCTGGTCGCTACGGCATCGTAACAAACGGTTTTGAGTATGGCTTCCGCCGGGGAACGAGTTCTTCTCATATTGGTGTTATATCCGCAGGTGAACGAACCGAACAACCAGGGATCGAATCGTTCAACCGGGGAACGAGTCGCTCGCGTGGCTAGACCCCCACCCCGACGTGCAGGTGCCCGAAGGCATGTTGTGTCGTTCGCAGGATTATTGCGGTTCTCACGTTATACCGTGGCACACGTAGTTTTGTGGGTGGTGCGCGGGTACGCGTTACTCTATTTGCCCTCTTGCGATTCTGACAGGGTCTGGCGTGTTGTTGTACGTGCGCGTGGTGCCCGCAGGTGTGTGATTCAATCGCGTTGTGGTGTTCGCGGGCACGTTGTGGCGTGTGCAGGTGAATGTGATGTTCGCGGAAAAGGAAGGGGCAACAGGAGGAAGAGGATGAGGAGGAGGAGGACGGCGACGACGGAGAAGGACGAGGGAGGTGCGGAACAGCACGATTGAGGTAATGGTCCGTCACGCACATGCCGTTACATGCGCGGTGGCGGTTTCTATCTTGGCACCTCCGCCGCGGCCGCCGCAGCCACTGTCTTCAACTTCGTCGTTCGTCGTCGTCGTCGATGCCGCCGCCGCGGTCGCCTCCACCCCCACCGCCGTCGTCATCGTTGCCACCGCTGCCATCGTCGTCGTCGTCGTTCTCGTCATCGTCGTCGTCGCCGCCGCCGTCGTCGTCATTGTCATCGTCCACATCGTCGTCGTCGTCGCCGTCGTCGTCGTCATTGTCGTCGTCGACATCGTCGTTGGTAGTCGCCGTCGGTTGGTAGTCGTCGGTTGTGGTCGTCTTCGTCGTCTTCGTCATGGTCGTGGTCATGGTCGTCGTCATGCTGTCGTCGTCGTCGTCGTCGTCGTGGTTGTCGTCGTCGTCGTCGTCGTCGTCGTTGCGTGCCAGTCTGGTTCCTACCGCTGCAGGCGCCGTCTTCGTCGTCGTCTGCGTCGTCGTCGTGTCCGCCGTCATCGTGACGTCATCGTCGTTGTCGTCGTCGTCGTCGTCGTCGTCGTGTGTCAGTCTGCTCCCCACCGCTGTCCGTCAGCTCTCGGGCACAGTTGCAGGCTGTGGTTCCCAATAGGGAATTGCCGCCGTGCTCGCGGGTGCACTGGGCTGGCCTGGGCGAGAGTTGCGCGCACGCGTCGACGCATGTCCTTCCAGCGCTCGGTCCCCGTACCTCGTGCGGCAGGGTACGCCTGCCCCCCGCACGTGTATCCAGCGTGTGGGCCCCATCGCTGCTGGAGCTTTCGGAACCAGGGTTTCGAGCCCCTCCTGCCGCTCATGTGTCATGGTCCTGTTCCGAGAGCCCCTTCATTCAATCCTGGCCGAGCCTTCTTGTTTTCCCCTCCGCGCCTGGTTTTCTGGGCTGTTTCGAGAATTGCAACGGCCACCTGCCAGGTCTAGGTTTCCCCTAGCAGTGCTTGTACCAGAGATTCTGGTGTAAACATAATGCGCAAGGAGATGCATCATTGGTTCCACTCATATGATGCAGCGAAGGGTACACAGTGGCCACAACAAAGCGTGGACACTTCCGATTTTCACCCTGATGAAGTTTTACCAACTGGTGCAACTTGTGGTGCAACCAATTGCGCGACCATGTGCCGCAACCTACGGCTCAATGTATGGCGCAGTCTGTGGCGCGCCCTGGGGGCGCAACCTACGGCGTTACTTATGGCGCCACCTATTGCGCAACCTGGGGGCGCAGCCTATGGGCTCAGCTTGTGCCACAATCCACGGCGCAACCCATGGTGTAATCCATGGCGCAACCATATGGTGCAACCTATTGCGCGCACTATGGGCGAAACTTGTGGACGCAACCTATGGCGAAGCATGTGGCGCATCCAGATTGCAGCGTCTAGCTTTTCGGGGTCTTAAGATGGCACTCGTAAGCTATGACTGGCGGCATGCATTTCCGCGGCCACTGCCATCTGGTGACAAGGTCTATCCCACAGGCTGCCGCCGTTCCGCAGGCCCGCAAAAGGACAACGGGGCAGGATTATAAAAGGTAGGTGAAGAGGAGGATGAGGAGGAGCAAGTGAAAAGGAGCAGGAACAGGGAGAGGAACAGGATGAGTTGCACTGCCGCGCAATGTTGTGCGGCCCCTTAACACACGGCGCGGTGGTCGCAACCGCCAATTGGTGCTCGCAGGCTTGCAGCGCGCGCACTGTGGTGCTCGCAAGCGTACGGTGGTCTTCGCCACCGCACTGTGGTGCTCCCAAGCGCACTGTGGCGCTTGTTCGCACATAGGTCGCTCACAGGCCAGTGCTGTGCTCATATGTGCCTTGCCGGTGCTCTCAGGCCTTGCGCGCGTGATCGAATCGCAGGCCACTGTTGTGTCTGCATGTTTGTAGGTATGGCGTGCCCCTCGGGCACATTTTTTGGCGATCGCAGCGCGCCCCCACCCCGAAGAACCCCATCACACCCAAGCGTGTTGCCGTTACCCGTGGGCCAGAATCCCCCCTCCCGGATAACAGCCGTTATCGGCCAGAATCAAAGCAGTTTCTTGCGCGGGAAGAATCAAGACGGGAGGTTTCTCATATCCAGACCATCCATTCAGACACATTTTTGGTGAGAGTTTAAACACGGAAGTTCTCGCATGTTCGGCAAGTCTGCAGATGTTTGATTTCGCACGGATCTAATTGAAGTAATGTTTGTAATCTCTGTATAGGTGATCACACCACCTCTTACCTCCTGGCTCTTTCCTGTCCCTGCCCGTTCTTTGTCCGACTGACCCTAAGCTGTCGCGCAGGGCCTACGGGCCAGGGTCGAGGGGATCGACTCGCACTGGCCAGCATCTGCTAATCTCTGCCCCCGGAGTCCGTCTTCCCATACTGGGACCGTCGTGCGTCGCCTCAGGTTGAAAAGCCCGTCCCCTGGAAGGCGCCCATATTTCTGGCGGTCCACGCCACGTCGTGGAAACATCATGGCGTCGAGGGCCTGGGTCCAGAGCCCCATTTGGGAGAGCGTGGATTCGGAGATAAGTTCTAGGCCACCCACATGGGGTCGGAACAAATGGTGTCTGAGGATCGCGCCGCATCGCCGATGCATCGGCGATGCGGCTTGATGTGGAGCCCGATTTTCTCCACGCCGATGGCTTCGATGCATCGCCGACATCGCCGATGTATCCGTGATGTGGCGCGATCCTCCAACCCCATCTACTCGGACCCCATGAAGGAGGAAACCTCTAGAAGTGTTTTGGCCCACGTGCCCCCAGGACTTCCAGGGAGGCCACCACGATTTCCAGAGCGCCCCTCACGAGACCCAGAGGGCCCCGAGGGCTCCAAGGTGGAGGGCAAAGCTGGAGATCCTTCAGACCAGGGATGCCTTCAGTGATCGCCGATGGACGCGATGGGCACCCCGGGGAGAGCAAGAACACGACGCCCCTTGGCTGTGTCTGGTCGGGAACGCGTATATCGGGGGGGGAGTCCGAGGCCTCCCGCACAGCAGATGGCGTCAGAGGCTCGCGCCACATCGCCGATGCGGCTCGATGTGGAGACTGGTTCCTTCAACGCCAACGGCGCCGATGCATCGGCCGACTATACGTCAGAGTGACTTTTCGCCGAGGTGGAGTGACCTTGGTGCGGCCTCCTGGGTTCCCCCGATCGCTGAATCCGATGCGATAGCAGCGGCCTGCGCGCTTACGTTTGGCTCCCTCGCGCCCCCCAAAAGTCGCGCACCAAATGTCAATCTTTCCTAGCGTCACTCCTACGTTTAGCCGAACCGGCGCCGATGCGGCGCGATCCTGCGACCCGTGGACCCGGGCCCTATCTGGGTGGCCTTGTTCATTAGGCCTCCCAGATGAGGTCCGAGCACATTGTGTCGGCGGATCGCTCCGCGTCGCCAGTGCATCGGCGACGCGGCTCGATGTAGAGCCCGATTTTCTCGACGCCGACGGCGCCGACGCATCGCCGACGTCGCCGATGCATCGCTGATGCATCTGCGATGCGGCGCGATCCTCAGACACCATCAGCTCGGAGCCCATCTAGCGAGCCTCTATCTTGGGGTGTGGCGGTCCGCGGCACCTGGGCCAGCCGACGAGCGCGCCGGGGCTGAGCCTGACGCGTGGAGAGGGCGAGGGGTACGGAGCCTTGTTTGCGCATCTGCTCCCGAGGTCAGCGCAGGACGGAGCCTGGCGCCGTTCAGATCACTCGTGGCTTCTCGCTGGTGTTGTCGAGGACGCCTACGGCGAATCACCGCCGCCCCCCGCATTTTGGAAACGCCGATGTGGCCGAACGGTGCGGCCAGAGCTCGACCGAGCTGTCGGTCTTGATGTTCCCCCCGCTGTTGTGGAAACCCTTCGGGAAGCACGAGGGAGAGAAAGAAGAAAAGGAAGACAGAAAGGACGCACGTGGAGGAGGGGGAGGTGGAGGAGGAGGAGGAGGACGAGGAGGAGGAGGAGGAAAAGGCCTCTTGGGAGACTCTTTGGGCACTCTTTGGGCCTCCTGGTAGCCTCATCGGGGCCTCTTGGAGGCAACTTGGGTGCTTCCTTGGGCCTCTTGAGGGCCTTTGGGCCGTCCGAGGGCGTATGCTTGGCTTCTCGCTAGTGTTAGCGAAGACGGCCACGGCGAATCACCGCCGCCCCCTTCTTTTTAGGAGGGATGCGTCTATGTGGCCAAACGTTTGGGTGACGTCTGGCCACGCTTTTGGACCATGCGTTCCCCCAGCCGTTGTGGAAGCCCTTCGGGGAACACGTGGGGGAGGAAGAGTAGGATGCGGAGAGGGAGGCAAAAGGAAGACGAGGAGAAGAATGAGGAGACCTCTTGGGAGCTTCTGGGGTCATTCTTGGGGCCTCCTGGGAGCTTCCTTGGGGCTTCTTGGAGGCCTCTTGGGCGCCTCCTTGGACCTCTTGGGAGCATTTAGAGGGCTTGTTGGTGGCCTGTTTGGCCGTCTTAGTTCGTTCCTGGCCCGTCTGACGCCGTCGGGAGTTGTCCCAGGAGCCTCTCTGGGCCGTGTTGGGACCTTTTGGGTCGTCTTGAAGATCATCTTGGGCGTCTTGGAGGCCTCTTGAGCAGTCTAGAGTCCCTCCTTGGGACTTTCTTGGAGGTTGCTTGGGCCGTCATGTGCCAACTTTGAAGTCTTGTGGGCGATCCTGGGGCAATATTTGGGGCCTCGTGGGCCGTCTTGCGCCGTCGGAAGTCGGACAACCAGGTAATACCACCATGCTTTTGAACAACAAAACCGAAGAACAACTATGATGTTGGCCTTTTAGGGCCTTCCTGTATGTCCTCTTCGAGGCTTCTGGAGCCGTGTTGCAGGCCTCTTGCAGGCTTCCTGAGCCGTCTGGGGCTCACTTTGAGGCCATCCGAGGCCGTCTTGGGTGCATCCATGGACGTCTTGGAGACATCTTGGAGCCACTTTGGGCTCGCTTGGAGCCATCTTGGGCCATCTAGGCCGTCTTGGAGGCGGTTTGGCAAATTCGGAGGCAGTTTGTGCAGCTCTCCGGGTGGCCGGCGGGGTGGGCCGAACCCGTAAAAAAGGACCGAGCACCACCAGACATCCAGTGGTTAATCCACAGGGGGCGGCGGATCTGGTGGCCTTCGGCCCATCCCGCCACCGCGTCTTGGTTGTAGGTCAGAGGCCTTTTGGACGCCCGTGGGGTGAATCTGGGATTCCATCTGGAAGTCTCTTGAAGCCCGCTTCGGCGGTGTCTCTTCAGCAGTGGCGAAGCGTCTTGGCTTGCCTATAGGCCTACCAAAGAGTGTTCTAAGAACATTTTGTGGTTTGCACGAGGTGTTCTCAGAGCATTTCTTGTTGAGACTGTCCTGTTTTGACATATCGCGCCAATGTATACCATTGTTTTATATTATTAGAACATTTTTTGGGTTCTAAGAGCATTTTGTGGTAGGACTACACCTTTCTCAGTTCTAAGTATTCGAAGGTTCTTTGATTTTTTTGGGGGGCCAAGATCCTTTCATTTCTAATTGCTCTATCCTGGGCCTCTTCCTGGCCACTAGGGGGGCAGGAAACCTAGAAACGAGCACAAGTAGAAATGAGCACGATTATAAATTCACGACGGCCTATCTTCATCCGGATGTATCTCTGTCGTGCCTTCGTCATTCTCGTGGGCACGGATGCGCTCGTCGCTCGTGCAGGACTGCGGGGGCGGTCGGTCCCTTCTCGAGTCTTGCGCCCTTCGGGGGTCCCCTGCAGGGGGGCTTCCTGCGGACGAGGGGGTGGAGAAGCCCAGGGGCCCGTCGAGGCCCTCTCGCCGCGCGCCTCCTGGGCCGCCGGTGGCAGGCACTTCTCAGGAGGTCGGGAGCCTTGTGACGGGGGTCAATGCAAACGGGGGTCAGACAGAGCGACCGATTTTGCATGATCCTGCAGGGCCAGGATCGCATTGACCCGGGCTTGGGTGCAGGATCCTGCAGGATTTTGCAGGATCCTTCGCGTTGACCAAGGTTTGGGTGCAGGATCTTGCAGAATCTTGCAGGACCCTGCACGGCCTGACTGGCCCGGGTCTGGGTTGACCCAGGTCAGAAGATCCTCGAGGAGGGGGAACGCACACAGACACAATGAGTCGTCGATTCCCAGGAAAGTGTAGGAACATCTGGAAAGGGGGGGGGCGGAAGTCGAGAACTCCGAAGATATGGGAAACTATGGAGGATCCTGGGATTTGTGGTGTCCCGGGGCCCCTTCAAATCAGGAGCTGCGTGCCACCGGCACGCCGACAGGGGCAGGGCCACGTGCGTTCGCGCCCAGCTCGCCCACCTCGGTTGCATCTTCCGCCTGAGGGCACTCCAACTCGTGCCTCGGGCTTGGCATCGCTCGGGCGAGCGCACTTTCCCTAGCAAGGATCATCGAGGATCATATGTGGTCAGCTTGCGAAGAAAATGCTTGCACGAAACCGAGACATGCACGGAGGAGGGACGTCCGAGCGGTGGCCAGCTCAGGGGCACGGCGGCGGACTGCTGCTGATATTCGCGGGCTTCTACCACAGCTCGCCGCTGTTTCGCGAGCTGGTGTCCGTCGCGGCCGCCCCCCTCCTGGGGAGGCGGGAGCAGGACGAAGGGCTGGCCGTCGTGGACGACTACCGCTGACCTGCCCGGCTGCGTGCCGCCTCTGCGCCAGTGCGGAGCGCCCCGCCCACATGTTCGGCAGAGACTTGAGCGCGCCTTCTCTCCGGAAAGCGAGGACCAGGAAGTCCGACATCGACGTCAAGGACTTTCCCCTCCCTCCCCCCTCCCCCCATAGCCCTGCCACACAGACACACACACAAGCATACCGAGCTTTGCGCCGACACCGACATCAAGGATCCCTCCCTCCCTCCTTTTTCTGCGAATGTTTTAAATCAGAGTGAGGGGGCCGAACGGTCATTCACTGTCCCTGGGTGCGTGGCTGAAGTGGAATTCCGCGGTGCGGATTCTCGTTGTTGTTGTTGTTGTTGTTGTTGTTGTTGTTGTTGTTGTTGTTGTTGTTGTTGTTGTTGTTGTTGTTGTTGTTGTTGTTGTTGTTTGTTGTCGTCGTCCCACCCGCAACCCGCCCCGCGACCCACCCGCGACCCACCCCGCGACCCACCCCGCGACCCACCCGCGACCCACCCGCGACCCACCCGCAACCCACCCCGCGACCCACCCCGCGACCCACCCCGCGACCCACCCCGCGACCCACCCCGCGACCCACCCCGCGAGCCACCCGCGACCCACCCGCGACCTACCCCGCGACCCACCCGCGACCCAAACCACGTTCAAGGTACAAGCCACCATTTTCGGCGCCTGCGGCGGGCTTTTTTGCATTCCTTCCAGGTGGAGAGCCCGCGACCCACCCCGTGACCAACTCGCGACCAACCCGCGACCCAACCCACGTTCAGGGTACAAACCACATTTTTCGGCGCCTGCGGCGGGCATCTTTTGCATTCGTTTCAGGTGGAGAGCCCGCGGCCCACCCGCGACCACGTTCGGGGTACAAACCACATTTTTCTGCGCCTGCGGCGGGCATCTTTTGCATTCGTTCCCGGTGGAGAACCCGCGGCCCACCCGCGACCTAAACCACGTTCAGTGTACAAACAATTTTTGTTGGTGCCTGCGGCGGGCTGCTTTTGCATTCCTTCCAAGTGGAGGTGGAGAGCCCGCGACCCATCCGCGACCTAAACCACGTTCACTGAACAAACCAATGCCGCACAAGCGCGGCGGCGGATTTTTGCATGCCGTCTGAGCCCGCAAGGACCTCTTCAAGCCCCGCGCATCCACACCAGCCCGTCCAGCAACTCTGCCCTGGCGAGTTGCCTTGGTCAGAGAAGGCGGGGATCATAAAGTGGAAAAAAGGATTGCGTTGCAGTTATCTTGGGAAAGGAGGGGGAGGCAGGTGGAGTAAACAGGGGACGAGGAGAACGCGGAAGAAGAGAGGATGTAAGGAGAATGTGGAGAAAGAAAAGGAGGAGGAGCAGGAGAACGAGGAGGGGGAGGAGGGGGAGGAGGGGGAGGCGGAGGACGAGGAGGGGGAGGAGGGGGAGGATGATGATGATGGACGACAATGGGAGGACGATGATGGAGGCCGATGAGGGGGAGGACGACAATGGGAGGACGATCATGAAAGGACGAGGGGGGGAGAGGGAGGACGAGGAAGAAGAGGAGGAGGAGGACGAGGTGGAGGAGGAGGATGACGATGACGATGAGGACGAGGGCGAGGAGGAGGAGGAGGAGGAGAGCGCCATCGACAGGGAAGGTGGGGGCCACGAGGCCCGCCGGCTCGACGACGCCCGCGTCGCCCGCGCCCGCCCCCTCACTCTTATCCGCAATTGCGGGGTGCTACGTAATATTCTGGGCCCTGCATTGCCGTAGTGACGTAAAGATTCGGAGGCGGACCAGCAGGGGGAGAAGACGGAGGTGGACGAGCGAGGGGGAGGAGGAAGAGAAGGAGAAGGAGGAGGAGGAGAAGGGGAACGAGGAGGAGGAGGAGGAGGAGGAGGAGGAGGGCCAGCTTGAAGTCGCACGCGTGTTGGCTGACCCAGGCCGAACAAGCGTCGCTGGTGCTATTTTGTAGATACGCACGGCAAGAAACATTGTGATAAGAGATCCAGGGGGACATCTGTCGTCGATCGTTGAGCTTCCTGCGGTGCCCGAGGGTGTCTGCGGTTTCCAGGGCCACTAGGGAATAAGACATCTGCGATGGGTTATATCGGCGGCGGCCCGAGGAGGCAGTGAAGGGTGCAACACTTTCTCAGAAGACGGCGGGTCTTGTCGGAAGCCCTCGCGCCTTTCGGGATGACCCCAAAACTCTGCTCGGCCGGGAACCTAAGTAGGGTGGAAGTGAAAAGGGACGGGCCTCCTCAGAAGGCTCAGAAGATCTCCGGCCTTCACAGAGGCATTCTAAGCCAGCCCCAAAGTCACAGAAAACTTCCCAGAAGGCATGCCGACTTCTGAGATGGCCCTGTCCTTCTCACTTCCCCCCTCGCTCGCCGCCGATGCGTTCCAGCCGCAGGAACTCGCAGCCTTGCCGGAGCCCCCCTTCGCCCCTGCTCCGCAAGAAAGCGGCGCTGGGCTGGGCCTGCGGGGGAGGGCCGGGATGGGCTGACGGGGGTGCCCCCCTATCAGAGGTAACCGACCACCTCTGATAATCACACCCAGGGGAAAAGAAAGATCTGGGTCCAGGGGGGATAATCGACGATTCGCCCCGGCAAGTCAACAACGACGACGACGAGGATGTTTTCCTCCTGCTCTGAGATCCTTGGCTCGTGCTCTTGAGATCCTTGGCACGTTGTTGATCATGTTGCTAGCCGACAAGATAGCAACTTCGACTCGTAACTTCCCCCCGCCATAATAAAGCTCGGCCTAGCCGCCCCTCTCCCCAGCCCAACTCTGTTTTGGCCAGGGATAATCCACTCCCAGCTGGGAAGGGGGGGGATGATTTGTTATCTGGGGCTTGCGGCCAGTGCTGCGGCCACTTCTCGTGGACCAGCGCAACTCCGCTTCCGTGCCATGCTGCACTGCCTCCATGGACCCCCCGCGCCGTGCTTCCTAAGGGCCTCTCGAGGCAGCCACCCCTGCCCGAGAACCGGCTCCTCGTCCCGAGTCGTTCCCCGACGGTCCGGGGGGCCCCTTCGAGGGCCCCAGCACCCTGCCCTCCGGGCGCGCTCTGGGCACCCGTGGGCCAGAGCCGACAGGAGGGGGGGGACGAGGAGGAATCGGTCCACCCCAGGAGGAGCCCCCCCGCTCTCCCGCCGCCCACTCCATCCCGCTCAGGAGGGGGAGGAGGATAGGACAGGATCGCAACCAGACGGTGTATGCTCTAATGTAGCTGCACGCCGCCCCCTGAGCTTGCCGACGAAGAAGGCGCACCAGAAGGCGGACACAGCGACCCAGCAACTGAGCGGCAGGACCAGGAAGCACGAGGCACGTATCTGATACCTCGTACAACTACCTCACATCAGAGACAGACAGGAGCTGAAATGTCACTCCTTCCCGCCATCCACACAGATACGGGTAGCATTGCACCATAACTTAATGAACGTAACTGCCACACCTCAATTGCAAGAGGAAAGGTGCAAAGCCGTCGATGCCGAGCATTCCAGCCGAAGATTTCATGGGGCACGCAAGGCCCATACCGATTAGCAGCAAAAAACCCTTCCAACCAAACAACTAGAAAGGACACATCCCACGAGCGCCAAGGAATTACGCGAGGCGTTTAAACAATGCACTGAAAGCTTGGTCTGCCTTGCCCAAGCACGCTCCTCGGAGGCTAACTGCTACCGACCGTTCTAACACCATGCCAATTCCAAGCGGTGTAGCTGACGATGGGATGTGCAACCTCAACTTACAGCCCCAAACCGCGCGCGACAAGAAAAGAAACAGCCACTGTCTGCCCGTCTCCTGCACCATGTTGGGATGCGCAGGTCCATTGCGACACTGGACGTGAGAACGCGCCGACGGACCGTGCAACGACCAGTAAGCTGCCACTGCCTGTCTTTCTCACACATGTTAATTCGAACATGTAATTGATGGTTGCCGGTGCAATCGTTCTCGCCCAGCCGAGCCCCGCACCGCCATTGTTCGCTTTTCTCGCACGTGTAGAAACAAGCAATGTAATTGATGACGGCTGGTGTACACTTGCCTTTCCGACCGCCGCAATCGAAACAGTGGCCGCACTCGAAGCGCATCCGATGCGACACTGAATCTGAGACCGCGGCGACGGCCGTGCAGCGGCGCCGAAACTGCCACTGCCTGCCTTTCTCATACGCGCCATTTCAAACTGATAGCTGATGGTTGTCGATGCACGCGTCGCAACCGACCGAGCCTTGCACCACCTACTGTACCCGCCACTGTCCGCCTTCCACAGACGTGCAGAGCCAAGCACTGTAGCTGATGGCACTGGCCCACTGCGGCACCGTGCTAGAGAACGCACCGACGGGCCGTGCAACGGCCACTGAGCTGCCATTGCCTGCCGCAATCGCACGTGCTGATTCGTACTGGTAGCTGGTGGTTCTCGGTGTCAGCGGCTCGTCCGACCGAGCAGGCCCCTGCCGAGAGAGCTGCCACTGTCCACGTGTCGCGCACGCGCATCTTTGAGCAATGTAGTTGATGACCGAAGTGAGACGCCCTGCGCTGATGCACTGGCCCACTGCGCCACTGCACCTGACAGCGTGCCAGCGGTCCTTGCAACGGCCAATCAGTTGCTACAACTTGCCTTCCTCACTCGTGCTGGCCCGAACAGTAGCTGATGGTTGCCGAGACGGGCCCCGCGCTCAGCCGAGCCGCGCACCGACAGACGGAACTGCCCCCGGCCATGCACAAACGTGCAACAACCATTGTTTGTGGCTGCTGGCGGCCAGTGCAAGTGCCCGCGGCTGGCCGAGGAAGAATTCGCCCAGATCTTGCCAGCGCTCACACGGCTGAACGTCCCAACCAAGGCCAGAAACGACGATAACAGCTGCTGAACGTGCCCCTCAAGCGCCACGCGGAGGCACCGGGCGGGACGCTGGAGCAAGCCAGTGAGAGCCAACAAATGGTACTGCTGCGCTCCGCGCCCCTGTGCTTGAAGCAGGAGGGGGAGGAGGAGGAGGAGGAGGAGGAGGAGGAGGAGGAGGAGGATGAGGAGGAGGAGGAGGAGGAGGAGGAGGAGGAGGAGGACCAGATGGGGCCAGGACGAGGATAAATTCGCTCAGAGCGCTCTGCGACGCTTTCAGAGCGTTCCGGGACGCTCTGGCAAGGCCGCGATGCCCGAGACATTTTTCAGAGCCGCCGGATCTGAGAGCTTCTGGGTCAATCCCCACCCGATGTTATCCTCGTCCTTGCCTCATCTCAGGAGGGGGAGGAGGACGAGGAGGGTACCCGCCTCGCTCCGAGGTGCGTCAACGTTCGATCGCAGCCCTACGTGTTTTTTCATTCCATCTTGCTGGTGCGATTAATTTTGCGTGCTCTCGTCCCGCCGACCCGTCGTGTGTGCGAGCCCGGGTTTCGCAGAGACAGAGAGAGAGAGAGGGAGAGAGAGAGAGAGAGAGGGAGAGAGAGAATAATAAACCATCAAATCGCATCATAGATAATGAAAGACAGAGAGAGAGAGAAGAGTGCCCAGCAGCGGAGGTCTAGGCAGAACAGGAGAGTTCGGAAGGCAGAACATGAGAGTTCGGAGCAGGAGAGTTCGGAATAGTGATGGAAGCGGTTCGTGAGCAGTTGTCCCGGAGAGGTGGTGACGCCGCCGCGCAGCCTTTTTGAGGCGCCCGGCTCGCGCATGCTTCCTGCTACGCCTAGGAAGTTGAACCAGGAGCTGGCAAATGCGACCACGTCGTCCGCAGTCCTACGAGTCATTGGTTCGCATCTGCCCGAGTTCGACGCGATCAATGTTGTCACAGCTCTCCACAAGCTGGCCAGGAGCGCGCGCATTCTGGCCCATCGCATGTTTGTTGTGAGTGGCTCGGCGTTCGCATGCGGTCCTGTGGAAATTCTCGCTGGCCGTTGCTTGGTCAGCATGTTGGTGCAGTCTCGGCGTGATGGTATCAGAGCCTCGCATGTGCGTCGAACCACCCATATGCCACTGACTCGTCTTGGAAAGGACAAGGAGGACAACAAAGAGGAGAGACGAGGGAGGACTGGGGAGGGAGGGCGCAGGAAGGATGAGGGAGAAGGACGGAGTAGGTTGGAGAGAGGGCGGATGATAGCGGCGGGACGGGAGGAAGATGAATACCGAATGGAAGGGGCCAGAGTTATGGCGAGGTAGGAGGGGGGGCATGAGGACGCGGAAGAGGACGAGGAGCCACAGGCGGGGGGAGGGGAAGGAGGACGAGGAGGAAGATGAAATGCATCAGAAGATGATGAAGAGGAGGAGGGAGGAATTGCAGGAGGGACCGTCAGGGGTGGGAAGGACACAGTGGGAGAGTAATGGAGGCATAGAATGAGAGATAGGCTTGGATAGAGAGGCAGAGAGAGGGGAGGGAGACAGGGAGCAAAACAGAGAGAGATATAGAGAGTGAGAGAGATAGGAAGGGTCGGGTACACAGATACAGGGGAGGGACACACGGCATCTACATTTCAAATGCATATACAAAAACGGCTCACAACAAGCAAACCACACCATACGCTGATTCTGGGGAGATCGAGAGAGAGAAAGAGAGATAATGCAAGAAAGGGAGAGAGAGAGATAGAAAAGAGAGAGAGAGAGAGAGACAACGAGAGAGGAATAAACATAGCTGTATAGAGAGAGAGAGAGAGAGAGAGAGAGCGAGAAAGAGAGAGAGAGAGAGAACAGAGATATATATATATATAGAGAGAGAGAGAGAGACATAGAGAGAGGGGGATCAGAGAGAGAGAGAGAGAGAGCGAGAGAGAGCGAAACTTCAGAAATAAGTAGGGACTTGAGAGAGATGTTAAGTGGGAGAGGGAGAGAGAGAGAGAGAGAGAGAGAGAGAGAGAGAGAAAAAAAAGGAGAGAGAGAGAGAGAAAGAGAGAAAGAGAGAGACAGAGAGGGGGGGAGGGGCAGAGAAAACGATGGAGGGAGGGAGAAACCTGTGAAGGAGGGAGGGGGGGGCTCTCTCTGTGTGTGCACATGTAGGAGTTCATACACAGTGAGATCTGTTGCTGTTCCATACATTGCAGCGGGCGCGTAGCAGACTGGGGAAGCGGGCGGTGGGCGGTGTACTTCGCGCCCAGCGTGGAGCAGCAGCGCCCAGCGAAGAGACAGATCAACAGAGAAAGAGAGCGGGAAAGATGGGGAGACAGGCTGAGAGAGAGGGAGAGGGAGTGAAGGAGAGAGAGTGCGGGGGAGGGGACATTACGAGATGATTCCAGGCTCACAGTGGCCCTGATGGATTTCAAAGGCTAATGTAGGCACAGCCCCGTCTGACTCTCTCTCTCTCTCTCTTGCTCCCTCTCTGTATTTCTGTGTTCCTCTCTCTCTCTCTCTCTCTCTCTCCCCCTCTTCTCCTCCTCCTCCTCGAGGAGTCCTCGTCAAATGAACCCTTACTACGGAGGCAACACTGAGGACCCCTTCCCGCAGGAACCCCGTCCAAGGAGCCATTGCTGAGCCATTTTTACTCAGGCAGTTTTGCTGAAGCAGCCCTTGTTCATGGAATCATTACTGCGCGCGCCCTTGATAAATGGACTGCCTTCACAAAGGGGCCCCTACTAAAAGAAAGTCTTCGTGATGTTTGAAACTACAGTCGGGCTCCTTCTGTAATCGAGTCCAGTGAGGTTTCTTACGCAAAAGGCTGGGACACCATGGATATGTCTTGGTACACCGCGAAAACCATGAAAGCGATTGAACTTGGGAAGGGGCTGCGGGCCAGGGACTCCCTCCAAGAGGATCTCCCGAACATCTTGCTCTGGCTGTTTGAATGCTGATTCTTGTTATCAATGTTTTCTGGCGGCCCAGACTCTCGCATGAGGAATCATTGCGCAACATGTTGGAGAGGGAGTCAGAGTGGAAGAAACGCTTCGGAATGAGAATTCCCTAGATAAGGATTTGCTCACTTGAAGGATCCTTCTCAGTAGCGTTCTAGTCAAGAGTGATCCCTTACTTCATATTGGCTACTATTCAGTAAGGGCTCCGTGGCACGGGCTCCTCATTCAGGATTCCCGTACGTAGCCGACATTCCGTTAGTACGGTTTTCTTTTGTAAGGGTCTTTTGGCCAAGGTTCATGGCAGCATTCATCCAAAGGGGTGCTCCTCCTTAGCGATTGCCTCAGAAAGGGAGCCGTACCAATGACCTCCGCGTCCCGCGGATCGACCCATTCAGAACGTTTTGTATATTTGAGCATTGCTGTAGCTCTAGCAGGTTTCTGTTAGAGCTGCCTCGCAACAGTGCACCGCTGGTGTTGTGGCCCTCGTAGCTGCGCGTTGCGGAGGCATCAAAACAGCGGCAGGCCTGTCCAGCCTCCCGCGAGGGCAAGACACGTCCCCCCCTGTGACGCAGCAGGAACATGAGTCCAATCCTCCTGCCGAGGGGGCCCATGGGTACCCCCCAGAATAATGATCAATAGACAAGTCCACGACCAAACGAATCTGTGTGACAGTTACAACAACAAGCAATTCGAGTGCACACATCCCGCATCAGGTGTCAACACACACGTCGGCCAGAACGTCGTCGATTGAGAGAGGGAGATGGAGAGAGACAGAAAGAGAGAGAGAGAGAGCGAGGGACAGAGCGAGAGACACACGCTATAATAGTTCAAGCAACGGCACCCACAAATCTACCAGGCTACCTTCTAAGCTGATGACGGAAATACGGCGCGGCCCTGGGGCCTGCGGTGGATTTGTGCCGCATCGACGCGGCTGCTGCCCACCGCGGGCGATCGATCACGCTTGATCGCCGCCAGTGGCTCAGAACGAACGGCTCGCGCTATCTGCAAGGCTCGACCGTTCGGGGTCGAGCGATCCACGTGATGTCAGACTGCATCGCCCACGTCTTTGTGTATGTCCCCTGCGCGGGGGGGCGGTCAGGTGGCCGCCCGGGGCCGTCCCGTGCGCGGGCCAAGGGGGGGGCGTCGCACGCGTGGGCTTCAGGTCGGGGTCAGGACCGAGGTCGTGGTGCACAAGCGGCGGGCGCAGGGGTTCAGGACTCTTCTGGCCCCATGCGGCACCTGCAGGCCGAGCGGGCCTCTGCCAGTGCCCCGGCAGCTCCGAGTCGGGCCAGCTCCGCCCACGCTCGCCGTCCTGGTCCGCAGCGGCGGCCCGCCACGGATGTGGCGGGACGAGGCCAGGGCGCGGTTCCATGGCCCGAGCTCCGCGTGCAGCCAGCCTGGCGGTGGGGCAGGGGCCGCGCGTGGTGCGGCAGGGCGCGAGCGGTGGCCGCGCTCTTGCGGAGAGTGCCGCAGGCCCGCCTCGTCGTGGTCTGGCGGCCTGGGCCACGCCGGGTGGCGGGTGGCGGGTGAGGACACCCTGGGCGCACAGCTCGCCGACCCGGCGGCCGTAGGCCTCCGCCACGGCATGGACGGAGCCGGGCCTGGCCTGCCTTGGCCACCGTGGGTCGGGTGCCATGATGTCCGCACGCACGCGCGCGACCGGGCGGGGTCCCCCGAGCGAGCACGGTCGGGAAGCCGCGAGCCACCGCCGTGCCGTCCCGCGAGGGTGCGCGCGGGACGCCCCGCGAGGGCCACTGGGTGGAGCAGGTTGGCCGTCTCGGCCCGCGGGGCGTGCGGGGCGATACCGCGGAGGCGGCAGGCGTAGTGGAGACGGTGGCGCGGGCCGAAGTAGCACGGAGGACAAAAGGAACCCCTGAACCTAAAAGCACGATGAAGGCGTAGCGTCACTGAGGTCCCCGTCGTCTCAATAGGGAGGGATGTGAGGAGGGGGGCGGTGAAGGGGCTGGGCGCCACGGATGCCCCAAAGTTGGCGCCGAGGATCCAGAAGCCCCCTTTTCCCTAAGGGTCGGGATAGTGACGCTGCCCCGACCCTGAGATGCGACAGTGCGAAAACAGATAGCATATTGAAAGTATCACGACCAGAGCCTTAGACTCCATCTTTCTGACGCATTTTCTGAAACATGTTGGTCTGTGATGGTCCTGCCGGGTACGCAACACATGGCAGCTTCCCGATCTCCTGGGACGCTTTTCGGACCGCCCCGTCCCCCATGTGAGGCTCTAACTCCTACGACTATCAGAACCCCTCGCGAAAGGCGAGAGCTCCCTCGTCTTTGAGAGGGCTGGTATCGTGGCGCCGCCCCGACGTTCGGTGGCGAAATTCGGACGCCTACCAACGATTCCAGGCAGCTTCATGGGCGCCGGGAGTAGGGCTCGGCATCCGTCGAACACGTGGCGAAGTCCGAACCCTACCGCTATGGGGCCACGAAGCGTGTGAGTTGTGTGCCGAAGCGAGTGCGGTGAGCGCGTGCGAACGCAGCCACGGGGGCCTGCGGTGGAGCTCCCCATGGGGCCGCGAATCGCGTGCGGGGTTATGCGGGGTGTGCCGACGTGGGCTGCGGCGGGCGCGTGCGAGCGGAGCCACTGGGGCCTCCGGTGGGCCTCCCGTCGATTCGGGGGAAGCGAAGTTTGGTGGGGCGGAGGCAGGGCTCGGATGGCGCCGCCCCGACGCTCTCTTTGGGACCCCCCCCCCCGCAGGACAGGCCGCGGCTCTTCGCACTGCCCCCCGGCGGTCGCGCGCTCGCTGTGCGACCGGCTGCTGGGGCTCTGCGGCGGCGCCGCGCGCCTGCAGGCGAGGCAGCTGGCGTCCTCCGTGTGGGCGCTGGCGACACTCAGGACGCCGGACATTTCTCTCCTGACGGTGTGTGTGTGAGTGTGTGTGAGAGTGTGTGTGTGTGTTGATTATGTATATTGTTGTTTTCTCGTTTTCTCGCTCTCTCTCTCTCTCTCTCTCTCTCTCTCTCTCTACATATAAATATGTGTATATAAACACACACATACATACATATATGCATACACACATACATACATACATACATACATGCATGCATGCATGCATGCATACATACATACATACACACATACATACAGACATACATACATACATACATGCATGCATGCATGCATACATACATACATACATACATACAAACATACATACATATATATATATATGTATACAAACATATATATATATCTTTCACAGTCGAAGAACATGGCGAAAAGGAGGAGCATAAGAAGACGAGGAGGGAGTAAGGTGAAGCAGGTCTGCCTCTCCTTGTTGCTTGCTCTCTGTCTGTTTCCTTTCCACGGTCGAAGAACATGTATAGCAGGAGGAGCATGACAAGACGAGGAGGGAGTACGACGATGGAGTTGTGCCTCTCTCTTTTGCTTGCTCTCTCTCTCTCTCTCGTCGTTGGGTCTTTGAGTGTGCCGGTGCTCCGTCCCCCTTCCCAATGTGGGGTGGTGTTGCGGTGCCATAGTGGTCCTCGTCCTCGTCTTCATCGTCGTCGTCGACCCCCCCCCGGTCCCATCGGGGGGGCGGGCGGGGCGCCCGCCGCAGGGCCCCGAAGTCGATCCGATTTGGAGGGGGGGGAGCCCGCGACCCGGGCTTGTCGTCTGCTCTTCCTGGTGCTGTGCGCCGGTTTCTTTGTCCCTTCGGCGGGTCGGATCCCCACCTCGGAGGGCGGGCCGGTGGGAGTGGGCACGGGGATCGGCTAGGCGATACTGAGAACAGGGAAGAATCGCATAGCCATGCAGTTTTGGAAGCCTGCGCAGATCTCTTAGATCGGCGCCGGGCCCCCCTGGCGGCGCCTCTGGCGCCGCCCCTGGCGCGCCCCGCGCGCCTGGGAGAGGGGGGTATGTGTTTCGTGCTCCGAATAGCATTTCGCGAGAGGGTTCAAATGCTGGTGCCAGGAATCGAATTCCAGAAGAGTCCCGCAGGTATGACGGGGAGCCCTGGACCGCCTTGGTCCGGCAGCCGTACCGCATGAGACGTCCAACTCGTTCAGGCATCCCCTCTCGCTTCAATGCGGGCCAGATGGTCGGTCTGGACGGCCGCGATCCGGTGTTCGGTTCGCGCTAAGGTGCACATGGCCGTGCTTCGACCCCTGCTCCTCGACCCGCCACTTCTCCTGCGTTGGCATTCGGATGCTTTTCTGGGGTAGGTGTTGCTTTTTGTTTTCCTCTCTCTCTCTCACGAAGAAGGAGAAGGAGCATAACAGTAACACACGCGTAACAAAAAAACACAATCATGATCATTATCCCACACAGGCGCATCGCCACACACGTTTTGAGGTCCGCGCGGGATTCCTGGAGCGGCACTTGGGGCCCCCCCTGGAGGCGCCTCCGCCAAGAAATCGGCATTGACCTCGGAAAGTGTATGTTTATGCCGATTTCTCCCTCCCTCTCTCTCTTTCTCTCGCTGTCTTTCTCTCTCTCTCTCTTCCTTTTTTTTTTCGCGCTCTCTCTCTCTCTCTTTCTCTCTCTCCCTCTCTCTCTCTCTCTTCCTTTCTCTGTCCCTTTCTCTTTCTCTTTCCTTTTTTTTTTCTCTCTCTCTCTCTATCTCTCTCTCTCTCGTTCGTTCTGATTCCCGGGGGGGGGGGGGGCTCGAGCGCGCCCTTTTTGGCAATCGTGCCCGCCACGCCCCACTCCCCAGGCCCGCGCCCGCGTTTCGGGCTAGGCCGCCAGTCTTGCCTCTGCGACAGCGCGTTCGCGTTCTCCTGCTTTGCATCGGCGTTTGCGGCGGCGTCGGAATCAGGCACGGGATTTACTACAACGGACGGTTGCCGGAGAGTTGCAGCAGAAGCTCCACGGGGCCACGTTGATGGTAGGGGATGCCCGCGAACGAGCGAGCTTCGTCGAGGGGCCCGCCGAAGTCCACAGGGCTGCATAAAGATCCCCGATTGGCGTGCGTGGCCGCGCGCCAATGTGGGGTTCAGAACAATGTTGCTTTCATTCGCAATTCGACCCGATACAGGCGTGACAGAACAGGGAAGCCTGATCCCAACTTCGTGCCACGGACTTCAGGGGCTAAGTCACCTAGGGCACGCAGCAACGGAGCCGACAACCGTGCAGCTGCAGCCTCGGGACAGCCACCCACCACCGAGAACGAGCCAATACCAACTGAAGGTGCAGCTCGAACACGGAAGGCCTTGGCAACACTATGCAAGCTGGGGTTGGTCGACGCATCAGCGGTGGAGGCAGGTGTTGGCACAAGCTAAGCAGGTTCTTCACAGAGCCTGCGAACTCCATACGGTATCCTACGGCCGAGGGAAAAGAATCACGAATTTCAGGAAGTTGGATATGCATTATCAGACTTGCAGGCGGAGCTATCCAATAAGAAGAATATATTGGACACGGCCGCGCCAGAGCACACGCATATTGCTAATGAGGTTCACTTGGCACGAAGTGCAGTTTTCTCACCGACGGCTGGGGCAAGCAGTGCGAAGTGGCACACGGTCGTCGGACGAATGGAAACATGATTCAATTCTTCCCCAGATGTTCTCACGGCTGGCAGCGCCAACGCCCTCATTCAATCTATGTTCACCCACTTCAAGGTTTCGCAGTAGGTATTACAGGCAGGGGCGGTGGGTTTAGCAGCCGCAGCGACGATCACCTTTCGGTCTGAGCGATTTGCCTATGCCGCGGCAGGCGCCGCGCCAATAATTAATTCAGCAGCACCGACACCAGCACCATCGACTCTTGGGATTTTATTGCGTAGTTGACCATATCCACAAGCAAGTGACCATCCTGGCGAGGATGGCATGGCGGACGACTGATATGATATGTGCTACTGATACCATGGTTGGGGTTGCTCGCTCCCGGCGGGCGCCCAGGCGACCACAACGCAAGTCATTGCGCATGGTTGCTTCCAACGACTAATCCGGGCCGCGCGTGCGAGACTCCCTGGGAGAGGGAGCACACGAGGCTTCGATCGTGGCGGCGCACAGATTACATTTACGTAGTGATGACCAGTTCTTTGCAGAAGATTGGAGTCGTTTGCACGGCTGAGAGTTATTAGAAACGAGCTGCATCAAGACGCCACCAGGCAAACTCATGGCAGGGGCGGCGTTCATTGTTAAACAAGAATAGGCACCACAGTTTATGATTCATTCGGTGGTGTGACGGATCACGTTGTGGTGCCTTTTTGGCGCGCGGCCGATCGCATTCACGCAGGGTTTCGCGGTGGGCTTATGGCAGGTCCCAGCGCTGAAGCCCAAGGCTCTCCGAGCTTTCTCCATCTAGGCTGCTCGCGCATTCAGTCGCGAGGATGCCCTCTCGGCGGGCGAGGGCGAGTCCTGCGCTATTCCCCGCGGTAGCCTTGGGTTCAGGGGGACTTGTGGGATGGCTGCGGATGCTTAGCTTGAGGTGAGATCAGATGCGCGACGGCAGGGCAGACTAGATGGACCGCGTAGTCATTCGCGTCGAGGCGTTGGGCCCTGACTACTTCCAGCTTTCGACGTCGGCGATCCCATGAAGCGCGTGGGACGAGTTCAGCAGGTGCAATATCGTCGCTCGACGTCTGGAGGTGCAGGCGTCTTTCGAATGCCCGCCCCCACCCATGAGCCACGGCCACTTGTGCCACTCAGCATGGGCACATCCCAGAGGATCCACGCGCCGCCGTCTGGAACCCTTTGGTCTCCAGTCCATCCTTGCGCGGTCGAACCTCGTGCATGGCAGGCGCCCTGAGCGACCAATTTGCGCGCGCGGCCGTTCATTTGCCCGTTTGCAGTTTCGCGTGCCCTTCCAGCTGCCAAGCTCTTTTCTTTGGGGCCCTCGCTGACGCAAGGGGTCGGCGCGCAGGGGCCGTCGAACATGCGTTGGCCCCATAAATGGGGAATGGGGCATCATCGAGCGGCTGAGGGGCCCCCCCAACAGCAGACCGAAACGCGTGCGCTTTTTTACCGAGCCGCCATTCTATCTCAAGTATCCGCTGCGCTTGGGCCCTCGAGCTGCGCGGGCGACGTGGCTGAAGCGCAGCGGGGCCATGGGTAAGGCGCGTGGGATGTGGCCCCCGTGGAGTCCGAGCTTGACGACGATTTCTGCAGAGGCCTCGTTAGGTTTTCGCCGCGGGCGCACCGCTGCCTCCTCGGGGGATTGGCCACCTGAGGCGCTCCGCTAAGTCCTTCCCCAGCCGTGGGGCGGCGGGGGCGTGCGCCCTCAGGCCCCGTCACTGGGCCATGGCCTCCAACGAGGCCATGCAATTTTTGGGGCACTTTCTCCATCCATATGAACCGTCGGCGGCGCGGCACGCCATGGCGCCCCACGTCCACATCGTGCTCTTGGGCAGACCGGCAGGCGGATGCAGACCGATCGCAACGTTGCCATCGCTGCTCGGGCTTTCCGTCCGCGCGTGACTCGACCACGTCCGAATGTTGGCTTCCTCTCCTGGGAGGTCTTTCTTAGCGCTATGCAAGGGCAAGGCGACCGCCGTCACCGGCGATGCCCCGGCATTTCCCCATGGAGAGGCGCTCGGAAAGGCCCGGCGGGGCCCCGCCGACCAGGTCGCGATCCAGGGCGCGGTGGATCTAGAGACGCGTTTCGGTCGAGGGCCCTGGCGCGAGATTGTGGCCGCTGCGGCCCGATGCGGGCCCTCGCCGCCGCCCCCACTCCTGGCTACGCGCGCGAATCGAGCTGCGCGCCACCTCTCGCTTTTTATATTTTTCACATTGAAAATCAGTGGTCGTTGCCGCGAGGGGCTTGCAGCTGGGGGGCGTGCTAGCCGCGTTCGTGCCCCAACTTGTCCTGGTCGCGGCCACTGGCGGCCTTCGCGCCGGCGTTCGCCCCGTCGTTCGGCGCGCGCGCGCGCGATTCAATGGCCCGGCCATTGCCGTGATTGTGCCCCTCGCGGGCGAGGTTGAGCATGCGTGCGCGGCGCTGCCAGCGCGAGCAGATGCCTCGGGCCTCGGGCCCACTCGGTCTCACCCCAGCGAAGCACAATGTGACAGTCAAGGGCATGCCGTTCATCAGTTGCGACGCGTGCGCAAGGCCGGCGCCCCTGGCGCCCGAGCAGTTGTCGTTGTCGGCTGCATTGGAATCGGGGTAGCAGGGGGCAGACCATTGCGGCGCAAGCGCCTGCGCGAGGGCGTCAGCAGGGCGCTCGAGAGACCCCCGCGTTGACAGGTTGCGAAACGAGTTGGGCCAATGCATGGGCGTTCCGCACCGACGGCCTCGCCCCTCGGCCATGCCCCGCGGCCGCGCGGCCCACGGGGCCCCGCCGATAGATACTGGTTGCAGTAACAAGGGCCGCCGCACAGTCTGAGTGGTGCGAGCAAGGCGCGGCTATTCTGTTGACGCGCATGCAGGGGGGAACTGCGCGTTCTCCACACGCTCGTGCACGTCGAGAGCCAATATCTCAGTGGTCTCAGCTTGCTCGGGACAGCTCCCAGCAGGAGCTTCTGCACCAAGCTTGGCAGAGCAACGCCGTGAAGTTTCGCGCCTTTCGCAATCCCTAGGCTCCTGTTTCAGGGCCGTGCGGGTCGACTTTTCTGGGTTCAAAGAATATTCGGTGGTCATGTTCCTCGGCTTTCGCGCTGTCCACTGATCAAGCTTTCGCCTTCGACGGTCGGGGCGTGATTCTGCTGTCGATTCGCGAACATGCCCCAACTTCGTCTGCCAGAACGCAGCGGGCTTCTTAACAGAGAAAACCCGACGGGGCCCCGAGCTCCACGTGACCCCGCGGTTCCAAAAAAAACAATTGCATTGAGCCAGCAATCGACATGCTATTGAGGGTCAAGCAGACTGAACCCGAGCCTGGCGATGGCCACGACGACCCCGCGCAGACTAGGAAACTAGCGCGGCGAAGCCGTGGGCGCTCAAGCCTAGGGAAGGAGCTATCTTGGGCGGTCTGGTCACGTGCGCCACAGGGCCCCCAGTGCGGCTACCCCGGCACGGGTGCATGGGTGGCACGACTTGCCAAATACGTGGAATCCCGCGGTGCACAACCCATCGCGTTGGTTGGGAATGTGGCACGGCGCGACGGTATGATTTTGATGGCAACGGTTGTCACATTATGACAGGCCTACTTACTGAAGTTGGTTTCCACATCACGGTCAATGATCGAGCTGCTTCCAAGGCTCACCTGCATGGCCCAGAGATTGCTCAAGCGCGTCCGAAGAAGCCGGAATCATCCCGGTTATGGGCACGTGGTTCTCGTCCGCGCGCATCATTCTTGCAGCTGCTGCCACTCCGGGATGATGCAGTATGGCGCGCTCAGCATGGTGGCGCTCCCGCGGCGACAGGTGGTATATACACGGGCGGTCACGCAGGCGATTTTGGCACTGGCTTGGGGCGGCCCAGGCTGGATGGGGCTTCGCGCAGGTCGGTGACAGGACAATTCTATTGGTTGTGTACGGAGCGCTGCCAGGATCGATGCCATCATCGCCCCGAGCTGAGTTATGCGCCTGTGCCCAAGTTTTGCGGGTTGCAGTAGTGCCGTACCAGTGTACGCGAGTCACATAGACCTGGCCTCTGATGCACCACGGCCGCAGGCTGAAATCTTGAAGGACATGTGGCGGCGGATTGATGACCACTGTGGTTGGACTGGAAAGGTGCATGCGGCGTCTGTGGCTGGGCACCTGGCAGGGAAGGGTCAACCTGCGCGTGGCAATTATTTTGCTTGCCTGGGTCGCGACTGGCATGCCGTGCGATCGGAGGCCAAACAGATGAAATGTGGATTGCTGGCTGCTTGCAGAGTATTCCGATGGCATGTGGCGTCTCGTGCTGCTTCCATGGGTCACCCGATTGTTCCGCCCAAGAATCGACGCGCCACGCCTGAGGCTGAGGCTCGAGCTCGTTCGCCCGACCCGGGCAATCGTGCCGCGCAGCACGCACTATAGTCACGTGAGCGAGGCTGGCGGCGCGCACGGTGCGGTAAGATGGCGCGCGCGGACAGGTCGGGCAAGAAGTTGGCCAGGCAGACTCACAGTCCCGCGAGCCTGCGCCCCGTGAGCTTATGGACAATCTGAACAGGACCCGCCCTCCATCCCTGAAGCTCCTGCAGACGTTTCGAACGAATGTGCGCGGCGCCAGGGCGAGAACCACATTTTGAAGAAGGACCCGCCCCCCGTGCTTGACACTTCTGCAGATCCAGGGGTGCGATCGATGCCTCGCTGGCCCGCGGCTCGGTGCGATCAGTGACTCCGTGGCCCGCGAGGCCCGCGAATCTTCCAGGGGTGCGATCGATGCCTCGCTGCCAGCTGCTGCGGCTGGCACTGGCGCGCGAGGCGGCGGTCCGTCGTCGCTTCGCTTCCGGGAGGGGTGAGCGCGAAGAGGCCTCGTCTAGGCGCGGCGCCGCGGCACGGGCAGTTTCTGAATCTGCGCCCTGCGAAGGTAGGCCGAGGAGCCGACGCAGCTCGACGCGAGGATGCTCCCAGGACGGGATGGGGGCTGTCGTCTCGCCGTCGCCTCGCTGGGAGGGGGTGGGTTCTTCTACCGCCCGGCGGCGGCGGAGGTCTCCTTCGCCTGTGATCAAGTATGTATGGCCCCAAGTGGGCCCAGAAGAAGCTGGCGCTCGCGCCCATGTTGCTTTCGCCTCTCCGCCCAGCAGGCCAGCCCGTGACGCGGCTCATATGTTCGAGCGCAGCGCGCAGGCTGCCCGCATCTGTCACCTGGGGAGCCCCCGGCGCCCCGGCCACAGCGCAGGAGAGATCAATGGGTCAAGGTCAGAAGCGATGCCAATGCTGCGCGCGCCGTGCCTGCGCAGCCCCTTCTTGCTTCTGGGGATGCGCCGCCGATTTCGGCGCGTGGTCGCCCGCTGCATGTTTCGCCCATGCAATTTTTGGTTCGGATGAAGTGTGGTGGGGCCACCGCTGGGGGAGCGTTGACGCTTCTCGAGGTTGGCTGCCCTCCGCCTCCATATCTGTCTCGCCCAGCCTTCCACATTGATCGCGTGGATAAGCGGAAGCACCCCCCCGACAAGCGAGGGCTGGAACCCACGCAGCAAGTCAGGATTTTCAGAGTTGACGGCCCTGTGATTCATTCGCTCGGACTCTTAGCCGTTCTTACATCTCGCTGAAGTCCTACTTGATGTTGATCGTCAATTTCGCTGTTTGCACGATCCTTGCGCGCTGCTCGCGTCGTGGTGCTTCCGTACCTCCACTGGATATTTTCTTGTGACGGTGCGTTTTCCGATGGGAGCTGCGTTGGCGAGCTGCATTTTGAGACGCGCCGAACAGCGCAAGTCCATAGTTTGACCGACCGGCTTAATCGGAAGGGGTTTGAGTTTCCGCCGCGAGACGGCAGGTCGCCCTGGTTTGCCCCCTCCCCGCGCCGCCCCCCGCCCCTGGGTGCAGAGGCACCCCCAGAGCGCTGTGCGGGAGCGCTGGGCCGATTCGGAATGATCTCCCAAGGTTCCCACTCGACCCTGCTCAATGCTAGCGCGATTCCGATTCCGAGTTCGCCCGGTCCGGCGCGGGGCCGATCCGACGTGGCAGCCGATTTTCATGTGGTTTCTTTTTGTTCGATCTACCCCCGACCTCGCAGCGCAGAGATGTGACATGTTTGTGCGGCGAGGATCGGGCTTCCAGCATCTGCCGTGAGAGGCCAGGTCAGGCTGGCTCGCACCCTCCCCAGACCCGTGGTGCAGAGCCGGATGGGCCAAGCCAGCGCCGTGCGCAGGCATCACATTCTTGCGCGATGGGGATCCTGGGCTAGCGCATCCGCCCCGAGGCACAAGGTCGCCACGTTTCGCCTCGCGTGTTCAAAGCGGAGCGTTGTCGGAAGACACGGGGAAGAGATCCGCGATATATGATTTGGGAGATGGTGAAAGGCCCTCAACGCAAGCCCCACCGAATAGGAACATCGTCAGGCGATGGCCACCTGATCACATCAGTAGTTGCAGCAGTATACTGTAGGAGTCTGTCGTAGCATCCGTGTCACCAGCTCCTTCACATGAGCCCTTACAGGACGTTGGGTACACGTCAGTACTACAACCCCTGGTCACGAATATGGCGATCGCATCGTCAAGCGCTAATGGCTCAACGTGCGCGTGTGCGTGTCTGTGTGTGTGTGTGTGCGCGCACGTGCGTGCGTGCGTGCGTGCGTGCGTGCGTGCGTGCGTGCGTGCGTGCGTGCGTGCGTGCGTGCGTGCGTGCGTGTGTGTGTGTGTGTGTGTGTGTGTGTGTGTGTGTGTTTGTGTGCGTGCGTGCGTGCGTGCGTGCGTGCGTGCATGTGTGTGTGTGTGTCTGTGTGTGATCGTTGATGGTGATAGTCTGTTCGAATATTGCGACCATTCTGCCATATCCCAGCATATCTTCAATGAAACAGGAGGAGGCCCAGTTCTGCAGGAATGTGGCACGAATTTCGTAGGACCTCATCTTCAGCCGTTCCATTCATGCCGTTCTGACCGCTGGCTGTCGCCAGCGACCCCCGCACAACGCGAAGCGCCATCACCGAGAAAACGAAGCGGCCTCAAGGTGTGAGCAGTCCTTGATCGCAGCATCGTCGGGCGTTGAACAACCGGTTCATGATGAGGGCAGGAGGAGGAGGAGGAGGAGGAGGAGGACGAGGAGGAAAAAGAAAAAAACACGGATAAGGGAGGATAAGGGAGGGGGCGCATAGGAGGAGGAAAACAAAGGAGGAAGAGGAGGAACACAGAGGATGAATAGGAGGTGGAGGAGGAGGAGGACGAGGAGGACGAGGAGGACGAAAAGGGAGGGCGATGGGCCATCGTGTGAGCCAGCCTTTCTGCGCCCCGCGCATTGGCCGACGGAGCTTTGTTGCGAGCCGTGGACTTCAACCCACAGGACTGCGCGAACACCCTCTGGGCCGTGGCCGCCGCCCGGGCGGAGCACCCCGCGCTCGTCCAGGCCCTCTGCGCGACGGCCGCGGCGAAGCTGCGGCGCTTCCGGCCGCAGGAGTGCGCCAACGCCGTCTGGGCGGTCGCAGCGCTCCGGGCACAGGAGCCCGGGCCTCTTTAGCTGCCTCGGTACGTCCGTTTTGAAACGCAGCATGTCCACTGTTCAAGACGTCCGTGGCGATACGTTTGCCGGTTGGTTCGGCGTGCTGGCCCAGGTCCTGGCGAAGGCATCGTGCCGGGCAGAAGCTTTCAGCCTGCGTGCTGAGCTCCGAGTCCACCCGCTGCGCGTTGCGTGCTGCGCCTTTTGGGGCAGCTCTAGGTCGGGGCAGGCCCGGGGCGAGGACAGGTCGTCCGCAGGGCGTGCTGGACTGGGGTGCTCTCGGGGTGTCCGCGGGCGCTCTGGAGCGGCCACGGCGCCGCCCCGTATGCCTCCCCCAGACCCGCTGGCTCTCGGAGATTCACGGCCTACGCACTGTTCATTCCTAATTATTCGAAGTTTTTGGATCTTTGTTGGGGGCCAAGATCCTTTCATTTCTGAGTGTTCTATCCTGGGCCTCTTCCTAGCCACTAGGGGGCCAGGAACAATTAGAGACGAGCACAGGTGGAAATGAGCACGATAAACCAGAACGACGTGTCTCTTCATCCGGATGTAGCTCTGTCTTGCCTCCATTGCCCAATCTCTTCTGTCATGCTTTCTTATCCGGGCGAGAGGGGTCTATCCTCATCCGAGGTTGTTCCCTGCCTGCGTCTCAGGAGCCGCAGTTCTCGCAGCGGGCCTTCGGGGCGCTCTGCGGAGGCGCCCCGCAGCTGAAACCGCAGGAGTTGGCGAATACGCTGTGGGCGCTGGCTGCGCTGAGCGACGCTGGCGTCGCTGGCCTCCACGGCGGTGCCCTTCTCATCGCGGTATCGGCCAGAGCTCCGCAGCTCAAGCCGCAGGAGATTTCCAGCACTCTCTGGGCGCTGGCGAAGCTGGCGGACGACGCTCGCTGGACCTCAGCGGGCGGGGCCACTCGAGAGGGTGGCACTGTTGGCCCAGCGTTTCCTCGAGGTGTCTGCCCCAGGCGAGGACGTTCAAGCCCTTTCCTACCTCACCGGGAGCCAGTTCCATGGCTTGGGAGTCCCGAGGGGGAGGCCTTCGGCCCATCCCGCCTCCACGGTCCTGGGTTGTGGCCCAGATGCATGTTTCCTTGGGGGTCTCTGGGGCGCCTCGTGCGTGCCTCCAGGGGGCCTCGTGCTTGCGTGCGTGCCTCGTGCGTGCGTGCGTGCGTGCCTCCTCGCACGAGGCCCCCGAGCGCCTCTCGGGGGCCTCGTGCGTGCCTCCTGGGGGTATCTGGGGACTCTTGGGTCCATATGGGGGCTTCCAGCGGTCCACCGGTGGCGCCCGTCTTGTGGCACCTCTTGGGGCCGTCTTGGGAGCCTCCAGAGCCCCTGTTCGGAGTCTCGGCGGCCGCCTGGGGGCCATGCTGGAGGCCTCTTGGGCCGTCGTGGGCGCTCTGGAGCCCTCTTCGGCCCTCGTGGGCCTCTGAAGCCCTTGTGGGCGCGCTTAAGCCCTATTGCGCCCTCGTGGGCGCTCTTGAGCCCTCTTGGGCCTTCGTGGGCGCTCTTGAGCCCTGTTGCGCCCCCGTGGGCGCTCTTGGGCCCTCTTGGGCCTTCGTGGGCCTCGTGGGCCCTCGTGGGCGAGAGGGCTGAGATCACGTCAGCCTGTTGGTGCGCGCGTTTTTGCGAAACGCATGGGGCCAGGCGGGGTCCGACCTCCTCCTCCTCCTCCTCCTCCTCCTTCTCCTCCTCCTCCTCCTCCTCCTCCTCCTCCTCCTCCCGAGACCCCCAAAGAAGGCTTCAGCCAGGGCCCTTGCGATCACCCTGCTGCGTGCTGGAAAAGGGCTGACGCACCACGCTTCCCGGGCCCTATGCGGACGCTAGGAGGCCATCCCCCAGACGGCTTCAGCACGGGCCCCAGGGATCATCGTACGGCGTTCTGAAGCTGGTTACAGTCCACGCTCCCAAGGCCTCTGCCGCACCAGCCGCGACAAAGCGCGGCGGCGGAGCGTGCGGGTCGACATTGACGAAGCTCGCGAGCCTTTAGGCGATGTCGCTGCGGAAACAAACGCGTTCCCCGGGTCTCTGCGAGATGCATGCGGGGCACACCAGGAGCGCCCAGAGGTGCCCGGGAGATCCGTGAGTTTGGGGCCTGGCGCCATTGAGTAGCATCCAGTCATCTCAAATGAGGCCCGAGTAGCTTTAAGTCAGGCGCGTCCCTCTACAGCAGGAATATTGAATAATAATCAAAAAATAGTCTGGGGACGATTTGCTGAGCATTGATGACTATTTCTGAGCATTCTGTTGCCTGATTTTATTTTTTCTTCCAAAATCCGCATGTAGGGGGGTTTAGAGAGTCGCGCCGCATCGCCGATGCATCGGCGATGCGGCTCGACGCGGAGTCCCACGTCCTTCGCGCCGACGGCGCCGATGCATCGCCGACGTTGCCGACGCTTTGCCGACGCATCGGCGATGCAGGGGCGAGGCGGCGCGATCCTCCGACGCCATCTGCTCGGATCCCACGCGGGAGGCCTCGGTGCCGGCGGCGCGGTGATGCGCGGCTGCTGCCGCAGCCCCAGCGGAACGGCGTACACAACGGGGGCCGTCTGCACCGACACTGGCGCGCAGGATGCCCGCGCAAGGCCGGGCGTGGGCGCCCCTTGGTCTCTCCAAGGCTGCGTGCCGCCTCTGGCGCGGCCCGCGTAAGCTGCGGCGTAACGCCTCCTCCTCCTCCTCCTCCTCCTCCTCCTCCTCCTCCCTCCTCCTCCTCTTCCTCCTCCTCCTTCCTCCTCCTCCTCTCCTCCTCCTCCTCCTCCTCCTCCTCCTCCTCCTCCTCCTCCTCCTCCTCCTCCTCCTCCTCCTCCTCCCCCCCCCCCAGAGGAGGCAAAGGAACTCCGAACTTCTCATGAATCAGCCGGGGGGTGACGAGCGTGAAAAGGCGGCGCGGCCCCCCCCGCAAGGGCCATCGAGGAGCATTTGGGGGCATCCTGCGAGAAACTGCGCGCAGGACGCTGCACAAAACGCATGGGGAACGGACGTCGGAGCGATGGCGAGCTCTCGTCGTCGCCCAGGCGAGGCACGGGGCAGCGTGGCCGGCGCCCCTCCTCTCGAGCCCCGCCCCGTTGTCCGAGGCCGGAACGGCGGTGGTGGCGCTCGCGCGGGCGGCGCACGGGAGGGTGTCCGAGCTGGGCCCGCAGGGCCTCGCAAATGCGGGGAGCGTGCGGGAGGCGCCCGCCCGGCGTATCCCCCAGTCCGAGGCCACCGCCTGGGGCCTCGACCTCCCCGGGCGTCCCGCAGGCGGCGGGTGCATCCGTCGGGCCTCGGGGGGCCGGACTATCTCCGCGTCCGCCGCCCGCTGTGGCCCCAGGGCGTCGGCCCCCAGGCGGTGGACATGGATACATCCCCGCCTCGCACCGCGGGGGCGGAGGGAGGAGGAGGAGGAGGAGGAGGAGGAGGAGGAGGAGGAGGAGGAGGAGAAGGATGAGAATTCGGGAGAATTCGGCGACGACGCAGTCGAGTTTCGCCTAGGCGGGTGCCGCTTCGGGAGCCCAGAAACGCTTGGGGCCCCTAGCGCAGCACAGAACAACCACGCTGCAATTCACTCATACAGCATGTAAACTCCTCTCTCACGCAGCGCAATTACGCTCTGCGTATCCTGATGCCTTTGATCGAAGCCTTCGCCCTTGTGGCCCTCAGGAGCAGCATGTTGTCGAAATCTGCTCTGAGGGGCCACGTGGGCCTCCCGTTCGACCCTGTGATCGTGAACTTGCCGCTTTCCTCACCGTGGAGATATCTTTGATATCGCTTCTCCACCTTTTTCTGGTCAACCCTCGGAAGGGGCCCCCACACTCCATGTATGTCCTCCGCTTCCCATTGGATTCCAACACTGTAGCTGATGGCGTTGGGCTCGATCGCTTCGCCGCCTTCTAGCCATGTGCTGGCGATTTGGGAGCGTGCGTGCCACATGGCCCTGCTGACGCAGTAGCTGCTCAGCTTCGCGTTCCCCTTCTCGCAGGCGCGCGTGTCGACGATGTTCGCGGCTGTCTGCGCACCTGGATGGGAGGGCTCTTGAGAGGACGTCCTGTCCGCCTTCTCAGGTGCGCTCACTATTGCCTCCAGCTCGAGGTCGGCCTGGGACTCGAAGGGGTCGCTCTTCGGCTCTCCAGAAACCAGGTCGGTCGGAAGGAAATTCGAAGACTCGTTTGGAGGCCCCTCAATGCTGAGGTCGGGTTCCAGTTTCGCCTCCCCCTTTTCGCAAGCCCTGATCCCAGCGCTGCAGCTGATGGTGTCGGGCTCTGGATTCGCCTCCCTCTTCTCGCATGCGCTGTTCTCAGTACTGTGGCCAGCGATAATGTCGGGCTCCAGCTTCGCTTTCCGCCTCTCGCATGCCCTGATCCAAGCATTGTAGCGGGTGATGTCGGGCTCTATCTTCGCCTCCTCCTTCTCGCTCTGCTCGCTCTCACATTTCTCGCAAACAGTTTTCACGCACTGCTCGCAAACCGTGTTCTCTGATCCAGCCGTGGCGGCGAGGCTCGACGAGGAGTAGCAAACGATATTGGGCTCCAGCTTCGCCAACTTAGCAGCCACTGCTCGGCCGTCTCGCTCGTACGTCTCTCGCTCCTTCTCGCGCGCCTGGACACTGTAGTTGATCAAGTTCGGCTCTGTCTTCGCCTCCCTCTCCGCCCATGGGCTCTCTGCACTGTAGCTGGTCACGTTGGGCTCGACCTTCGTCTTCGCCTCCAGCTTCTCGCATCCCGCCGTGTCTCTGCGGCTGGTTACGGTGGGCTCCAACTTCACCTCCCCCTTCTCGCATGACATGGCTCCAGTGCTGTAGCTGATCGTGTCGGGCCCCATCTTCGCCGCCCACGTCGCGTAGTCGCTGGTCCCTGGCTCGAGGCTTGCGGGGCAGGTCTCAGCGCTGTAGCTGAACGTGTTGGGCACCACCGTCGCCTCCCACTTCTCGCACTTCTCGCGCGCGGGTTCCTGCAGCCAGCCCTCGACGAAGTCGTAGTCGAAGGGCGTGGCTGGCCAGGCGCCGAAATCCTGCTCGACCAGCCCGTGGTCCAGGGCGGCCTGGCGGCTGGTCGCCAGGAGCAGCCTCCTCCATGCGCGCCGCTGGCTTTTGCTCGCCGCGGGGCGCCTCACCTCCGTCGGGGGCGCACACCACATAGAGCCACGGCCGGCGGCGCCAGCAGGCAGGCTGCCTTCAGCACGCGCGCCGAGGACCGTCGCTGGCGGTCTCGGCGATGCCAAGCTGGCTCCTTGGCCGCCGTCTCCAGCCGCGAGGCGCCGGCTGCGGCGCGGCGGCAGCGGCGGCGCCAGGAGCAGCGCGCGGCCGCGTATCGGGCCCAAGGGTGGAGGCCCGCGAGGCAAGGGATGCCTCACCCCCCCAGGGGCGCCGATCGGCTCGCGTGAGCCCGACCTCCTGGGCGGCCTGATCGCTGGCGATCGCGCGAGGGATCGATCGACCACCCGACGCGACCCTGATCTGGCCCCCTCCCAACAGAGGCCAGATGGGCTGAGGAGGAGGAGGAGGAGGAGGAGGAGGAGGAGGAGGAGGAGGAGGAGGAGGAGGAGGAGGAGGAGGAGGAGGAGGAGCGCGGGGGCCCGGGTGGGGTGGGGGGGGGGGGCGTGCAGAGCGCAGCGCGGGGCGGGGACGGGAAGCACGAAGCACGGTTACAGCGTTCCTGGTTCCCCGCCTCGCTCGCCCTCCCTCCGCTCCCGCTGTGGCTCGTTGCCCTCTTCGGCGCGCCAGCCGTGTGGACAGCGAGGGGCTCGGCGCAATGGTCAGGGACGGGAGGGAGTGGCAGGACGCCAGGTATGACGCGAGCGCACGGGGCCCGCCCTCCCCTTCTCGCTTCCCTCCCCTCTTGCTTCCCTCCCCCCCCCCCGCTTCCCTGCCCCTGCGCGGGGCCGCGTCAGCACCTGCCACCGGCACGTCCCCGGCCCACATCGAGCGTCCTGTCGGCCGCTCGGACCCGCGTGCAGGCGAACGGGGGGGGGGGAGGGAGGGAGGGAGGGAGGGAGGAGGGAGGGAGGGAGGGAGGGAGGGAGGAGGAGGAGGAGGGAGGGAGGATGAGGAGGAGGAGGGAGGAGGGAGGGAGGAGGAGGAGGAGGAGGAGGAGGAGGAGGAGGAGGAGGAGGAGGAGGAGGAGGAGGAGGAGGGGGGCCCTGTGGAGGGCCAGGCCTGCCGTCGTGCTCCCACACGTCTCGGGCAGTGGCGAAGCGTCGCGGCTTGCCTCTAGTAGGGCCACCAGAGCATGTTCTTAGAAACCCCTCCTCCTCCTCCTCCTCCTCCTCCTCCTCCTCCTCCTCCTCCTCCTCCTCCTCCCCCTCCCCCTCCTCCTCCTCCTCCTCCTCCTCCTCCTCCTCCTCCTCCTCCTCCTCCTCCTCCTCTAGTAGGGCCACCAGAGCATGGTTTGCACGAACTGTTCTGAGAACCTTTCTGGCTGAGATTTTTTTTTTTTGTTCGGGGTGGGGGGGAAGCGTAGGCTTGACGTCCTAGGAACACAGTTCTTGCTATGCGAACATTCCGTCGTTCTGAAAACATGCCGTGGTAGCCCGATAGGAATGCCAGGGCGGTGGATCCCTGTTCGACCATCCCTTTCCCCCATACGCTCACCCACCGCTCGTTGACCGTGGGTGTCCCTGGATGCCCCAAATCCAGGCCCTCCTGCTTCAAGAGCCGAGGACGGCTTTCCCTCCCCCTTCTGTTTCCGCGAGCGGGCCGGGAACTCGATCTGCTTCCAGCGCCTTCCTGCCCTTCCGGACGAGGCGTGCGCTCGAGATCGGGGCCCCCGCTCTCGCTGCCCTCCCCCGAGGGAAGCCCCCCTTGTGGAAGGGCCCCCCCCCGGCCGCTCCTCCTCCTCCTCCTCCTCCCTCCTCCCTCCTCCTCCTCCCTCCTCCTCCTCCTCCTCCTCCTCCTCCTCCTCCTCCTTCCTCCCCTCCTCCTCCTCCTCCTCCTCCTCCTCCTCCTCCCTCCTCCTCCTCCTCCTCCTCCTCCTCCCTCCCCCTCCCTCCTCCCCCCCCCTGGCCCTCGCAGGATCTCCTGCAGGGCCAGGGTCGCACTGACCCCAGGCCTCGGGCGCAGGAGCCTGCAGGGTCCCGCAGGATGCTCCGCGCGGACCCGAGCTTGGCCGCAGGATCCTGCAGGATCTTGCAGGATCCTGCAAGGCCTGACTGACCCGGGTCTGGATTGACCCGGGACAGACGATCCCCGAATGCCGCTGGGGCCCCCGCCGGGGCGGCCCCAGATCCTCGTTCGATCGTCAGGACGCGCGTGTGGTCTCCAGGCCTCTGCCTGCCCCGTCCTTGTTTCCTTCGGCCGCGTCCCTGTTGTGATATCAAAAATCACCATCATCATCATCATCATCATCATCATCATCATCATCATCATCATCATCATCATCATCATCATCATCATCATCATCATCATCATCATCATCACCATCATCATCATCATCATCAACATCGTCATCATCATCATCATCATCATCATCATCATCATCCTCACCAGTATCATCATCATCATCATCATCATCATCATCATCATCATCATCAGCAGTATCATCATCATCATCATCAGCATCAACAGCATCAACATCATCCGCATTAGCATCAGCGTCATACTCATAATCATCATCACCATCATCATCACTTCCATCATCAGCATTATCATCATCATCACCATCATCATCATCATCAGCATCATCATCATGCATGCTGGCACGATTCGCTCCAATGGTACCCCCTCTCGTTGCCTTTATCGCCCGCGCAGTCACCCTCTGCCTAGCCGTCGACGTTAAAGTGTGTTCTCGGCCTCCCTGATAGGGGTCCGAGCAGACGGGGTTGGAGGATCGCGCCGCATCGCCGATGCATCGGCGATACGGCTCGATGTGGAGCCCGACTCTCGCCACGGTGGCGTCGCCCATGCACCGCCGACGTCACCGATGCATCGGCGATGCATCGGCGCGATCCTCCGACCACATCTACTCGGACCCCATCTGGGACGCCTCTAGTGTTAGCGCAATATTTGCTTACCCTGCTTCGGGCTTAGAGCCTAGGGCGTAGGCCGTAGGGCTCAGGGCTTCTGATAATTCGAGGGGCCCAGTGATGAGAATTCCGGGCGCAGGGTTCCGATTCAGGTGTGCGGGCGGAGCTTTCAGGGTTTAGGGTGAAGGGCTTGGGGCTAAGCGCGGAGGGTTGACGGCGCGTGAGCTGAAGGCGCATGGACGTGGGTGCAGGGCTTGACGCTTTCGCCCTGGGGTCTGGAGTAGGTTTGACGGTGTTTGGCTTTGGGTCAGGGGTTCGGATACTGAAATCCTCGATTTCGGGTGTGGTGGATTTCTGGGTCTGGGGTCTGCCGGAATTTCTGGACTTGCCCTCTCGATTTCTGGACCCGATCTTCGCGATCTCTGGCTTTGCCCCCCTGGATGTCTATCTTGGCTTAAAAAAAAGATCGGGCTTTGCCCTTCCACAGTTTCCTGGTTTTGCCCCACGGAATTTCGTGCTTCGCCTCCCCACTCACTGACTGCCCCTCTGCATCGCTGCGCTTGTCGCCACCGGTAGCCCCCCCGACGTTCTCACGGGGATGGTGGTGGGCTGTTGGGGGACGGGGTGGGCACCTTTGTGCGGTCCCCCTCAATACGCTCTGGGCTCTGGCGACGGTGCCAGTCTCGGTGGCCAGCCCCGACCACGGTGATTGCCTCCGTGCGGTGTGCGGCGCGGCGCATCAGAAGGTCAGCCAGCTCAGTGCTCAGGGGCTCTCCAACTGCATCTGGGCCATGGCGACGGCGCGGCTCCCAAACAGCGATCTCTGCAAGGCCTGCTGCGCCCGTGCCGCCGACTCCATCATCGGGGAAGCGTAAGACTCGAGTGATGGGCCTGTTTTTTCACCACCACCAACAGAAGTTGGAGGGGGAAGGAGGTGGAGGACCAGGAGGAGGTGGAGGACCAGGAGGAGGAGGAGGACGAAGAGGAGGAGGAGGAGGAGGAGGAGGAGGAGGAGGAGGAGGACCTCCTCCCTCCGTCCAACTTATGGTGGTGGTGGTGGTGGAAAACAGGCCCATCATCGAGGTCGCCGGGGCTCGGGCTTGCCGGCGCTACTTGACGTTCTCGTCGTGGACTCGGATGGTCCAGTGTCCCGTGGGATGTTTCCGGCGAGCACTTGCATCAGATTAATTACCAAACAGATTTCCCCAGCTCTGGTCAGGCCAACTGGAGTCCTGATGTTGATGACGCTGATGCTGATGCTGATGATGATGATGATGATGATGATGATGATGATGATGATGATGGTGGTGGTGGTGGTGCTGATGATGCTGATGATGCTGTCATGATTTCCATCATCATCACCATCAGTAGCATCATCAACATCATCATCAACATCATTATCAAACTCGAGTCTCACGCCTCCCCGGCATCAACGACCACAACGGGCAGGGGATTGCAAACATCCTGTGGGCCCTCGCGCCGCTGGCGCACCACAGCAGCGATGCGCTCGTCGGCCTGCTGACCGCTGCAGCCAAGACCCCGGGGGCGCTCCAAGCGAGGACGGTGAGGAGCCGCCCCGCGATCGGCGGGGCTCGTCCCCAGACCCCCTCGCGTCGCGGGCAACACAGCATGACTCGTAGGCACCTCTGGGGCCCCTGGGGGCGGATGGCCCAGGTGCCGGCATTACACGCATTCGCCCAAGAGTCCCGCCGAAGGCATGGGCCATCGGCGCCCCTGGATACATGCCTTGCTCTTCCCTGGGCCATTCGACCTCATCGTCGCTCCCGAATGACAGCAGGTTGCTGTTATGTTCGGCCCTTTGAAGTGCCTTCACAGGGCACCGGGACCGTCAACAAGACGGCCCAGGATGAGAAGCTGGTCCGAGGGAAGTGGTCTAGACCTCCAGGGGTCCACGTTGGAGCAAGAGGCGGGGAGTTTGTGTCGGTTGGCTCCCGGGACGATGGAGGTGGATGCGGAAGAGGAGGATCAGGAGGAACAGGAAGCACGCGTTGCAGGCGGGCACCAGAGAGGGTGGAGGCACGGGCTGCTTGTCCAGGAGGAGGGGAAGGGGGGGCGGGGACCGAGGAGCCGAGTCAGTTCAGAGTTGCAGGTCTTTCCGCGGGCCGATCCGGCGATCTTCGTCGCCATCGCCTCCACATACCTCCCCCTCACGGTCGCCCCTCTTCTCTCCTTCTCTCCATTTCTCCTTCCCAGCCTTCGCCAAGTCGGAGGGCGCAGTCTGTCTCCATCGGCAGCACGGCCTCGGGCGAGATCCAGCGGCTGCGCCGTAATTGCTGACAGGGCTGCCAGCGTCGCCCCAGTGCTGCAGGCTGCGCGGGCGCTCCGGGCCGGCCAGCTTGACCTCGGCCCGGGCAGCAATACAGTTGCCGCAGTCCACGCTGGAGCTGCGCGCGCCGCTGGGCCAGCAGCCGCTGCCTTGCGCAGCGCGCAGCCTGCAAGAGTTGGGCCCATGCAGCGGCGTTGAGTGCTGGGTCGGCGTGCCGGCGGGGCCTCGCGGGTGGCTTTCGGCAGAACAGCCGCGGCGGGTCAGCGCACCTGTCCTGCGCCCCCGTGAATCCGCATGTGTTGAGTGATTAGTGTTGCTTCTTGATGGTGTTGTGGTGGACTTGTTTCAGGGGTGCGGCGCTTGTCTACGCGTCCCTGGTGCTCGCAGAGGGCAGTTTCACTGCGAGCCTGCACCATTTTCCCCTGGCTCGACGTCCTCGCGTGCTCGCGCAGGGCCAGTTCGATGCGAGCCTGCCCCCTTTCCCCTTGCTCGACATCCTCGCTTGGGGGCGACCCCCCCCCAAAGTGCCCGCTCCCGGCCCCCCTCGGCCACGCGAAGAGGGGGGTTAGGGGGGAGCGGGGAAGGCTTCTCAGAAGCACCCCTGCCTGTTAGAAGGCGCGGGCCTTGTATGTAGATGTAAGGCCGGCGCCTTCTGAGAAGCAGCCTCCTTCTAAGACGCCTTCCCCCTCCCCCTACCCCCCTGTGCGCGTCGCCAGCCCCCTCCCCCTGGGGGCGCGGGCGTCCCCGCGAACTCAGGGTGTCCCCAGCTGCTGCTGCCCCCTGCCCCACAGAGGGCCTCCGTGAAGGGCCCGTGAAGGGTCGGTCGGGCATGTTCCTCCACAGAAGGCATATCCAAGAATAGTCAAACACATATTTGTTCCATCATCTTTTGTTGTGACTATGTTTTATTTTCTTGTCAGAATCCGACCTAGCGTTCAGGGAATATGTCGGGACTTCCTGAAAACCAGAAATCCCTGAACGGGGGCTGCCCAGGACCCCTTCATTAACGCCTGAGGCTTAGAGTAACTATGACACCAGCACCACTACCGGCGGTATGCCCGTCCACCGAGGGAAGATGATCCCGAGCTCGGCGATGGTGGTATTTCTCGGGTTTCCAGGGTGGCCCAACGATCACCACCAGCACCACAGTCAAGGAGCAGCTTCCTCCGGTTGAGGCAGGGACCGGCCTTGGTGTTGGGCCCCATGTCAAATTTCCGAGCCTCCTCCACGGGGGAGGGACCTCTCTGGGCCCTGCGAGGCTGGCGCGGCCGCCCCCGCTCTCGGGGCTACTGGGCCCTGGGGCCAGGGGCGGCGGGCAGCAGGAAGCGGACGTCGGACGGGGGAGAGGGCTGGACGGGGTGGCCTGGCAAGGACGCGCACGCGAGTGCGCCTGACGCAAGGACGGGGCTCCGTGCAACCGATGTCTGCCTTGTCGGTCCAGCCTGGGCAGCTCAAACCCCAAACAACGTATTTGGCTTGTTTTTTCTCGTCGCATCGGGCCACGGGGCCCCGAGCGCTGCGGCGGGCTACCGAGCGCGCTGTCGCGGCGGCGTGGTGTCGGGCCGAGTGTCGCCCAGGGGCGGGCAGTTGGGCCACTCGCCGCCAGCTCGCCGCCGAAGCGCCTGCCCCAGAGGCCGCTTCGTCGCTGCGTAGCGTGACGTGCAGCAGCATCGTGGCCGAGTCCTCTGCGGCGAAATGGGGTGGCGACGCGGGCGCGGGTCCGCAGAGTGGGCTGGCCCACAGAGACCACGATCATCGCTGTTGGCTATGCCCAGCGCGAGAGGGCCCGCGGCGCGCCGCGCTTGCTCAGGCGCCACGGTCGGAGACGCTGCCAGACGACGCTTGGGTTCTCCAGCTGGGGTCGCGCTGACAGGGGTTCTAGCGTCGCCGCCGCTTCTCGCTGCCATTGCGGAGGACGCCGGGGGCGAGGACCCGCAGTTTCCGCCCTGGGCCGAGTTGCTCCCGGCCGCGGCCCGCCGCAAGGTGTGGAGTGATGGGGCATGCCGCATGCCTCAACCCAACTGACCCTTTGATTGCGCGAGCGGTATGAGGCCTGCGGGCCCAGGGCCTGGAAGCCCCCAACTTCGTTGGCTGGCCTGGTTGATGATCTGCAGGCAGCGCAGCGGGCAGAGGTCATAGCCGCGGTGGCGGCGGCTCGCGTCGCAGGCGGCCAGATGGACCTCGCCTCGGACAGCCAATCTGCTGTGCGGGCGTGCGCGCAGATAGTGGCTGGCGCTGGCGTGCGAGACTGGGATAACGCGGACCTGTGGCACCACCTTGTGGGCGCCGTGCGCAACGGGCGGCTCCAGGCCCGTTTGGTGCCAGCGCACAAGACGCTGGCAGAGGCGCGGCGTTTGGGGTCAGGCGAACGGGACCGCCTCGGCAACGCGGCGGCCGACGGCAACGTTGGCGACAGCTGCAGGCTGGGCCCCACCTCCAGAGCCGGTACGCTCGCGCCCGCCGGGAGCTCGATCTGCTGGGAGCTGTGCAGCACGTCCTTGGTCCTTGCAGCCGCGCCGCAGGCCGCCTTGGCGGCAACGCCGCCGGCCGCGCGCCGCCGGCAGCGCGATTGGCGCGGAATCCGCCGTGGAGCTCGCGAGCGCGCCCCGTATGCCCTGGTGGCCAGCGCCCCCGCCGACTGGCCGTCGCCCGCGTTTTGCCTGCGCCAGCAGAGCGGTGCTAACGCGCCCGTCAGTGGGGGCAAGATGCTGACCACATTGTTCGATGGGCGGTCATGCTGGCCCAACGCACTGGCGCGCGGCAGCGCGGCGTCGGCGGCAGAGACGCTCGGTGGCGCGCGCCCCAGGTGGCGGGAGCGCCTGCCGTCGCGGTTTCAGGCCTTCCTTGCTACTGGGCGACTTGCCCAGGGGGGGCAGCCGGGGGCCTTTCGCCCGACTGGCGGCGCAGCGAATCGCGCAGTTGCTTAAGGTGACCACCTACTGAGCGGGCACCGCGACCGGCGACTGCGAGCGCACCTCGCGCCCGCGATGCGCACGTCACAGGCAAGCGTGCTCAGAATGCGGGGGGGTCTCTCGAAAGCTTTTGTGCCATCGAAGAAGCTGTCTGCAGCTCCAGAGAAGGCTCAGAAGGCGCATCACAAGGCGCAAGTGCTCCCGAGAAACCCCGCCGCCTTCTGGAGAGGCCTGTCCCCCACTCACTTCCCCCCTGGACTCGCCCCTACCCTCGCTGGCTTGACTTGCCTCGATGGTGCACACGATCGAATCAATTGGTTGGGCCGCCGGCGCCCGCGCAGGTGAGTGCAATTAGCAATGAACCTTCCGAAATCGAGGGCGGTGGCGATCAGTTTGTCCTGGCAGCCCTCCCCCCTCTCTCCCTTCAGAGTGTGCCGATCGCGCCGTTCTGACCTACCGAGCTGCCAGGAAAAAAGTCCCGATCGACAGCTTCTTTACCCCAAACCCCGCCCTTCCTGCAGGATATAGGAGGAGAAGGTAGAGGAGTAGGAGGAGGAGGAGGAGTTGGAGGAGGAAGGGAGGAGGAGGAGAAAGAGGAGGAGGAGGAGGCCGAGGAGGACGAGGGAGGAGGAAGAAGGAGTAGGAGGGAGGGCGAGGCGGAGCAGGAGGAAGGATGAGAAGGAGAAGGGAAAAGGAAGGAGAAATAGGAGCAGAGGAAAGCAAACCCGGAGGAAAGGGAAGAGCAGGAAGAGGAGGTGCAGGAGCAGGAGCAGGAGCAGGACCATTGTAGAACCAAGAGTCATCAACGATGGTGGCGTAAACCCTCCCTCCAAGCTCCTGTTTCACAAGCCCCTATAACGGTTCATTTCCATTGAGGGGGTTGCATGCGTCTTGACGATCGTGAATCGTGCCAGAAGGCTTTTCCTGGGATTTCAACGCAGAGAACCAAGGTAACTGTTGCACCCGCATGATCCTGAATCCTTCCGATATTGCTGTTACGTTGGTAATGGGAACCCGCCAAACTCTTGACACTTGTATGGGCGAAGGTGCGCGGCGCTATGGCGAGAGCTACATTTTGAAAAGGAGACGCCCTCATTCTGTGAAGTTGTTGCAATTGTTTGAAACGAATGTGCGCACCGCTGAGGCGACTTCACCATATTGAAAGCCACCCGCCTTCCATCCTTGAAACTCTCGCAAATGTTCAGAATTAGTGTGTGCCAGGCTGACACGAGAGCCTCGTTTTGAAAACGTCCCGCCCTCAACCCGTGAAGCCTTTGCAAATGTTTGCAACGAATGTGCGCCGCGCTAAGGCGAGAGCCACATGTTTGAAAACCAGCCGCCCTCAATCCATGAAGCTCTTGCAATTTGTTTGAACGAATGTTCGCCGCACTAAGGCGAGAGCCACATTTGGAAAACCACCCGGCCTCAATATGTGAAACTGTTGCCATGTTTTCAGCTTCGGAGCCACCTCTGAGGAAGTCTCAGGCGAAATTCCCGCCCCGCCATGAAAATTGGCCTCGGGGTGCGACAGGGAGAAATTATGTATGAGGGAAAGAAAAGGAAAACGAGGTGGTGGAGGAAGAGGAGGAGCAGGAGGGGGAGGAAAAGGAGGAGGAAAAGGAGGAGGAGGGCGAGAGGAGGGAAAGAAGAGGAGGAGGAGGAGGAGGCCAAGCAGGGGGCGACGGAAGAGGAGGAGGAGCAGGAGGAGGAGGAGGCTAAGCAGGAGGCAAAGGAGGAGGAAGAAGAGGTGCAGCAGCAGTGGCAGTGTTAGCGGGGGGGTGGAGGCCCAGAGGCACGAGCAGCGTGTGCACTGCCCCCCAAGCGTCTGATGCTTCTCTCCTGTCTTCCTTTCCCTCCCCGTCCACCGTCCCCCTGCCCGCCAGGAAGAGAAGCATCAACGGAGAGGAGGAGCGGGATTGGGAAGGAGGAGGGAGGGGGGGAGGAGCCTGGCGGAGCGGAGAGGAGGGGGAGGACGAGGACGAGGACGAGGAGAAGGACGAGGAGGAGGACCAATGGCGAGGAGGAGGCCGGGGGGGAAGGAGGAGTGGGATCGGGAAGGAGGAGGGAGGGTGGGAGGAGCGAGGAGGAGCGGAGAGGAGGGGGAGTACGAGGACGAGTAGGAGGACGAGGAGGAGAATGAGGAGGAGGACGAGAAGGAGGATGATGATGATGAGGAGGTGGGGGGGGACGAGTAGGACGAGGAGGAAGAGTAAGTGGAGGAGAGGGAGGGCGAGGAGGAGGAGGAGGAGGAGGAAGAGTTGGAGCAACGAAGGAGCAGGAGCAGGAGCAAGAACATATGAAGGGGGATGGGGGGATTTGGGAGGAGGAGTGGGGGAGCGATGAGAAGGGAAGAGGAGGAGGATGATTATGAGGATGATGATGAGGAGGAGGAGGAGGAGCACGAGGACCACAACAAATCTAATATTTATCGGCGCTGTTGGAAGACATCCTTCCGAACTCCTCCTTCATATGCCCCTAGGAAGATTCATTCACACTGAGGGAAGTGCCCTGTGAGGGGGCAACCGTGTGAAAATCCTGAAGCGCGTCGCACTACCATTCTCAGGACTCCCACGCCTCGAGTCGACCTGACTGTTGCGGTTCCACGGTCCTGAATTGTGCCCCATCGGATTCCAACACCGCAAATCAAATGATCTTTTGCGCCCCGGCGATCCCTCATCGCTCCAGAAGAACGTTTCCGGTGCGCTAAATTGAGATCCATGGGAACTCATGTTCATGTTCACGCCGAGTGCGCGAGGCGCTAAGGTCACAGCCACACTTGTAAAAAACCCGCCCTCAATCCGTGAAACGCATGCACATGTTTAAAGCGAATGCGTGCGGCGCTAAGGCGAGAGCCACATTTTGAAAACGACCCGCCTTGAACATGTTCAGCGTTAGTACCGTGTTGAACGAATGCGCGCGGCGCGAAGGCGAGAACCACATTTTGAAATCGACATGTGCTCAGTCCGTGAAGCTCTTGCACATGTTAGAGACGAATATGCGCGTCAAAAGGGGGAGGCCCTCATTTTGAAGGCCACTCGCCCTCCATCCGCGAAGCCGTTACAATATGTTAAGCCGTTAATTGTAAGGAAGCCTCAGGCGAAACGCCCTGCCCGCCCTTCCGACAGGTCGCGGGGCGTGATAGGGAGGAGTCATTCATGAGGAAAACTTGAGGAACAGGAGATTTGGAGGAGGGGTGGGGGGGAGCGGTGTGTATGGGGAGAGGAGGAGGATGCGGATGAGGAGGAGGAGGAGGAGGAGGAGCAGGAGGAGGAGGACAAGGAGGAAGAAGACGCGGAAGAGGAGGGGGAAGAAGACGGGGAGGAACAGGAGGAGGAGGAGGAGGAGGCCGCCCAGCGAAAAAAGGTGCAGAGGTGGAGGAGCGAGGCGCGTAGGAGTTATCCCTTGGTCTCGAGAGCCCCCCTCCGCCGCCGGCTCGCTGGAGCCCGCCTGGCCAAGATCAGGGCCTCATCCCTCAGCGCCCAGGGCGTCGCGGGCGCCCTGTGGGCACTGGCCAGCCTGGAGGTCCAAGACACGGAGGCCGCGGCGGCGCTCTGCGACAGGGCTTCCCTTCTCGTCGGCGAGCACCGCGCTTAGCTGGACGAACCACCGTCGGCCAAGGGCATTCCGGGATAATCGGGAGGTCGAAGCTGCAGTGTTTTGGGCGTCCGAAGTGTGAGGTTTTCTGTCGTTTCCGTAATTTGTCGGTGGCGGGTTGTTCTCCAGCAGCTGCGCCTCGCTGAGGGGACGTCCAGGAGTTCCTGGCTTGTCCCGAACGGCCGCCGGAGAGCCGAGTTGTGGCTCGGAAGCCAGGGGCAACGTTAGGGGCATAGGCTCATAGGGGGGGGCCTCGATAACTAACCCATCGCCGATATGTGATCGTCGGCCCCGACTGCCTAGAATTGTGTGCATTCGCACTTAAGGATCAACCACCGATCCATCGGCAATGTATCGCTGATTCCAGCGCCATGCTTCCCCCCTGAGCCGGTCCACAACTAACGTTGCCCCTTAGGGAAAGCGGCGTAGAAAGACAGTCATTCTTGGATATCCCGAGCGTCCCTGCTGTGAGAGCTGCTGTGTACCATCAAATCGTTCGCGCGCAGTGTACCCAAAGATGGAACGGCTGAAGTGCGTAGCTGGTCTTCAAGCGTCTCCCGTGCAGGCTGTTGAACTGCCAACGTCAGGGTGCAGCCTTGTCATCATTATTGCAACCTTGGGCCACTCTCAGACACAATTCTCCTACTCCTGCCCCTCCTCCTCTCCTGCCCCCGATCTTCCCTGCACGCGCTAGCGCCATCACGTGCTTGCGTGGATGCTTCTCATGCCTGCAACGGATTTTATATCCAAATTACATCAGAGAAACGCCCCAATCAGTGGATGGTTTCCGGGAGCAGGGAGCCCGGGAACCAAGAACCCACCGAAATCGGCCCAGAACCAATATCCTAGAACCCGGGAGCCCCGAACCGGAATCCGGGAACCCAGCCTGCTACCAAAATCGGCGGGAAATTTTCGCCAAATCTTTCAGCTTCCGCTAGTACCCCTTCAGTGCAAGCACTGATTGGGGTACACGTCGCTGGGCTACACGTCCAATCTAACGTCATGGTCGCTGTAGGCGCTGTGCCCTGAGCCAACAACGTCGTCGGCTTGCGCAAGTCTCGCTCCATAACAGCGGGGGGCCCCTGCCAAGAAACACCCTGCTTGCCTCCAGGGTGCCCTGGGCTTCTTGGGGACCGATGGTCTTGCGATGGAACGCGTGACGTTCCCACACACCAAAGATCGATGGACGTCCTCGGGTCTCAGGATTGGGTTTCTTGTGGAAGGGTTCATCTTGTCGAACCCCACTGTATGCTCGCCCACCTTGCCTGCTTCAGATGCGTCCATCCTATCGATGAAAAAGACGGCGGCAAACTCAGGTTCAGCGGGCAGGGTCTCGCCGGTTCGCTGTGGGCCCTGGCTGCTCTTCGCATCCAGGACCGGCGCTCGCTGATTCGGGGCCTCGCTGGGGCGATGCGCAGCAAAGCTGACGGATCCAGCCCGCACAGTATCGTGTCCGTGGCATGGGCGCTCGCGGCGGTGAGCTCTGGTCCCGTGACGAGAGCTCACCCAGACAGCGCAAAAGCAGAAGGCGGGAAGAGATGGGTTAGCAGGTAGAAAGCCAAGATCAGGGGCAACGCCAGTGGGGGATAGGCTCAGGGGGGAATGCATCGACCCCAAATCGCCCGTGGATCGCCGATAGGGGCCTGATGGCCCACACCGCCCATGACCGTGTGGAATCCCCATCGGGGACAATCTGCGGTGTATCGCCGAGTCCAGGTCGATGTTTCTTCCTTTGAGTTCGTCCCCCGCTATCGTTGCCCCTCAAGGTCGCAGACAAAAGGTGAAGAGGGTGTACCGTGCACAGGTGAGCACAGAACGCTTGGCTTGCAAGGTGCGGCACGCCTGCGCAGAGCGACCAGCATACCCGTCCGATGTAGCGTACTGCTTTCAGATCCCGCATATCTTGCGAGGGGCGAAGCGGGTGTGACGCGGACAGGAGGGCAAAGGCAGCTACATGCGAGTGGGCAGCTCTCGATTGTTTTGAGCAATACGTGTTCTCGCCGTTGCCCCTGAGGCGACATTGCTCGCGCTAGTGTCTGATACGTGGCAAGCGTGTGGCCGTGTGCCTGACGCACCGCGCTGCCGTCACAGCATGCCTGGCTTGCGAGGTGCCATATGCGTGCGTAGAGCGGTCAACGTATTTGTCCATTGTACCGTGATCTTCCCATACTCAGCATGTTTAGCTTTACCTACTAGCGTCTGGCCTCGCTTCCCCATCAGATCCTACCTCATCCATCTCGTTGAGGGGTCCGACAACGTCGGACCTTTTCGGCTGTACGCAGGAGAACGCTCGAGGCGAAGACACAGCGTTGAGAAAGTGTTGAGAAAGAGAGAGAGAGAGAGAGAGAGAGAGCGAGAGAGAGAGAGAGAGATAGATGCACTGGTGCACGCGGGAGTCCGCGCGGGCGCCGGGGCCACAGGCGCCCCGCATGCCACTACTCTCTTCGGGCCAGGGCGCGGAGAGAGACAGGGCGAGGGGTGCAGAGAGGGAGGGAGGGCGAGGGAGTGCAGAGAGGGAGAGGGCGAGGGAGAGCGAGAGAAAGAGAGGGAAGCAGAGAGCGAGAGAGGTGGCGAGGGAGTCTCCCACGGTGGTCCTCGGGACCAGGGCCTCGCAGGCAGGGTCTCTGCGCCGCGGCGCCGCGTGCGGCTCGGGCGAGGGCGAGAGGCAACCTGATGCCGCGGCGCCGCGCGGCCGCGGGAGCAGCTTGGGGTGCCCCGCGCCGCGAGGGGACTTCGGCCAATGCCTCAGGGGGCGGTGGAGGCGGGGTGATGACCCAGGTGAGAGAGTTCACCAAGGTGCGAGAGGTGACTCCACAAAGCTAGTCAACCTGGGTGAGAGGGCCAGTCCACTCGTCTCGCTGATGGGGTTTGTGTGCAGCTGCTTTTGCGCTGTTGACTACCCTCGCGCAGGAGCATTCGGTTGCGCGGCGACTCGCGGCGCCCCCTACGATCGCTTGCCGGGATACCTCTGGCAGGCTGACGCTTCTGGGCCCCGTACACTTTGGAGGAGCCCCCAAATCAGCCTCATGTGTAATGGAGGATGACGATTAACAAATGACCGCGGGTCGTGCTCACGCGGCGGCGCCCGTGATGACGACTAGAGAAAACCGGCCGCGGGCTGGAAACCTCTTTTCTGAAGCGTTCTCCTCCCGTGAGAAAACTGTGCAGAGATAGCAGGAAACTATGTTTGTAATCGTTCTCTCCCCTTTTTTTTATGAATCGTCAGCCCGCATTCGAAGGGGGGCCGTCTGCTGGTCTGGCGCAGCCATTTTGGCTCGTCGGCTGCAGCCAAGCGGCCCCGCGGGCCGACTCCTCCGCTCCCCCGCCAGCCAGCTCCGAGGCAGCCAGGGCTCCGAATCATGTCCACCGTCGGTCACGGCCTGCATCTGTGCATGGCCCGTGCACATGCTTCGGGGGGGGACAGAACCCCCAACAGTGACGCGTCGATTCGAGAACTGTCCGTTTTCGGTTCTCGAGAGGGCACCGTGGCCTTTATTTTCCAGGCTTGCGCCCGCCAGGTCTGGGCCTCGGGTCGTTTGCACTAGACCACGTTTTGCTAAAGGGAGGTCTGTCCATCCCCGAATGTTGGAGTTTCCGGTGCCCCATATGCAGATATTACCCGAACTGAGTTGCCTCGATGCGCCCGATACGCCCGTGTTGAGACGCAAAACGTATCGTGGTTGAAACGTTCGTGTCACTACGTTGCGTGTTGGTTCAGCATGTTGGCTTGATGTTCTGGCGAACGTATCGCGTCAGACCTACGTGTTCAGTCTACGTATTGAGTTCCGCATCGCTACGGTACGTGTCGCCTGTTGCGTACTGCGGCATCTGAGAACCCGAGTGGTGGGAGGTTTCAGTTGTTCTGTCGACGCGCTTGGTGTTACAGCATGCGTGGCCAGCGCCCTGGGGTATTGCCGATGGCCGGTGCCAGTCATGTGAGGCTGAGTAGCTCAAGAATGCTGCGCACTTGTTTCACACCACGCCAGGCGCCCCGCCTGGCTCCCACTATCTGTCGACGCTGTCGTCCACAGAGCACGCTCGCCGCAGCATGCACAGGAAGGGAAGAACGGGAGAATATCGGGATGTTATCTGGAGTAGCAGGGAAGTGACAAAGGGGGAAAACGGGGTAAGCCAGCCCGAGCACAAGATGGCTTCGGAGGGCAGAGAAGTAGATACGGATGGGCTGAAGGGAAGCGCGCGCACACACTGAGCACAGTAGAATTACAGCTCCCGAAAATCTCTGTCCCCTGCAGCCTCTGATTAAACACCCAGGCCTCACCGCTTGGGCCAACGTCCAGACTCACTGCGCAGCTTATGAGCTGCCACGGTGGTCTCCTCATTCACCATACACACAGAGCCCTCCCGCATCAGATTCACCATCAAATCCATCTTCGCCCGTCGTTTGGTCAACCCATCCACTATCATGGCAGGATGATCCACCCATCGTATCTCGCAGCCCATCGCATTCATCGCTTGGCGGATGATTTGAATTTGGGTAGAACACTTCCGATCTCGTCCTCCTGTCGTCTCACGCTGTAGGTAATCGTACAACGACTTTGCGTCCACGATGCACAGTTCCTTACGCAGGACCTCTGCGTTGTTCTCCTTCACATTTTTTCCCGGCCAGAGCCAGTAGACGCCTATGCTCACACCACCTCTCCCACTCGTCCAACCGAAAACCAGAGAATGCAAACTCATGACACAGAGTAACTGACCATCCCAATTCAGCAACTCCGGTATTTAACGCCGAAGTTTCCGCATGTAGTGTAGAGTCCACCACTCTCGTCATTCGCGAGCTCCTCCACGCCAGTAGACTAGCCGGTCCTCTTTCCCCAGCAGCCACTCGATTAGTAGTCGCCAGTACTGCATATGCCCCCTGTGACCCGCATTCGCAGCTGTTGTACAGGCTGGCATCCGATACCGAAACCCACATCAGCTCTTCGAGCGGAATCGACCACACCGTAATGCCCAGCTCTGCTGTGTCCTTCATGTGTTTCACCAATTGGTCGGTCTCATTTACGTCATCGTATGTCAGCTTGCACAGCGCTTGTTGGAGAAGACTGCATCGCCCAGCACCATCAGCACGAAGTTCTCGCGTGAGCCAGTTCAGTGATCCAAGAACTGCCCTTGCTTGACTGCACTCGCCTGCCAAACATGCATCCCCTCCACTCTTGCCCTTTTTCCACCTTTACTGGAGCCAGTCTCTCGTCAATGAATTTCCTCATGGACACGTAGGAATTGAAATTGGCGTCTTGCAAGTAATGTCGCCCACTGAACATTGCTCCGTCCGGGTCCTTCCACAGCAACTCTACCTTGCCAAACTTCCTCTGAGCACGAAGCTTCGCCATCATTTCCTGGTGCCTCTGGCCTCCTACATCGAAGATGTCATCCACCTCCACCACCACAATACCCTCCACATTTGGCTTGTACTGGATCCCAGGACCCTCGACTCCTCGGTGTCCTCCTAGGTCTGCAAGTCGAACCAACGGCTGTAGGGGAGCTTCGGCAGGGAATAGCATGAAGACCGTAGGGTCCAAAGTGCTCTGCCGGTAGCCTAGGTTCACCAAATCTCGCTTGAGGCCTTTGCGAAGGTGAAGTGGAGCGTCACCCAGCCCATACACTCCAGTGACTAGCTCGACGAGTTGCCCGTACTCCATGCCTGGAAGTTCACTCTTGGGCTGCTCCGCGTACAGCTTGCCGTTCTCCCGCACCAGTTTATCGGACTGCATAAACGCCTTCCAGAGATCGCCAATAGTAGCCTCCCACTTGTTGGATGCTGCAATCTGAAGAACCATCATGAGTGAACTGGTAGTCACTGTAGGTGCTGAGCGGATCAAAGAAAGAAAGTCAGGATCTTGATCGCCACGTACGCACCATCGGCTCTTGAAGCTAGCCGCCTCTCCGACCTTCTCTGAGGGCTTCTTCCTTCGCACCATTCTCGAGGGAATGATCCGGTTCTCCTTCCCTTGGCGAGTTAGAGCTTCTCGCACCTTCCGACTCTCCTCTGGAGACAGTACTCGAACTCCACCCGTAGACTTATTTCCATCCTACTCGGTAGTGTCGGACGTGATCCACTCAGGCCATTCTTCAGCAGGAATATCTCGCTCTGTTACTTCGTCTCCTCCGCGCTTCTTCGTGAAGTATACCTCGTCCGACCGTGACTGCGATGCCGCTTTGATGAAGAAGATGTCTTCTTTGACCTGGCCCCTCCACTCCGAACTGAGCAGATCTTGATCGTCACCTTCGGGAAAAGGCCTCGCCTTACCGCCCAGGTCCATCTTCTCGTTCTGCGCGACTGCCTTCTCGATGGCGGCTGCAATCCTCCTCCTTGTAGCCTCTGGGCCCCCCGCGTCGCCGTCCTCCAGCCTGCGTACTAGACCTCGGCTGAGACCCGTCACATCCAGCTCCATTCCGGGCGCGTCTGGTATCTCCTCGATGCTCTTGGCCGCGGCCGCCGCCGCCCGCTTCAGCCATTCTTGTTCATGCTCCGCGTTTTCCTGTGGCTCGTTCTTCGGCTTC